GTTCCAGTAGCCGTTTCACATGTTAACAATCGTGTGTTCATGGGCTGGAGAGATGGCTCACCAGTTAAGAGCACATACTGTTGTTGCAAAGATATTTGGGTCCCAGCACCCCCATCAGGTGACTCACAGCCACCTGTAACACTAGCTCCAGGGGATCCAATGCCTCTGAATTTTCTGACACCTACATGTGTGTGCACATACTCCCCCAGGGCAGCTGTACACACATGCACATACCCACATACATACATGTTATTTTTTAAAAGTAAGATAAAATCTAAAAAAATATTAATTGGTAGAGTGTTCTGGAAGTGTATCTTGGTCAGTAGAGTGCCTCTTTGCCTAGTGTGTGCCAAGCCCTGGGTTTGATCCCCAGCACCACACATATACACACCTCAAAAACAAACTCAGGAGGGAGGTGGTGGTGTGACTCTTTTCCTGGGAAAATATAACACACATCTACTGACCCCAGATAGGGAGCCCATGACAGACCAAAGCACAGATACCACCGAAGTCTAACTTGATATGGCTAATGAGTTTAACTGGGGTTACAGGAATATGGGTGAGGGGTTACTTACTGGAGCAGAAATGACTCAAAGACAGCTGCATCACCAAAGCCTATGCCAGTGTAGCTGACAGATCACAAAGCTGGAAACCTGGAGTGCACTGCACATCTTGTACAGGGTTCCACAGGTTGAAGAGCATCCTTTATGGGTGGTTCAGTTGGTCTAAACCTCTTCTAGGCAGCTCCATTTGTCTGAGAAGGATTCTCAGCATTCTTTGCTCTTTACTCTTGGAGGGGGATGGGCCTAGTGAATCCTGTCAGTTTCAGGGAGTTCCTGAAGCTATTCTGAGATGTTTGCTTGCTTTCCAGGAGATTGCGATGTTTCAGTTTGGGAGGAAACCGCTACACAACTTAGGTAGGGGCAGGTTTTTGAGTAACCCTTGGCTCCTGACATAGTTTGAGGCTTGCTGGGCTATAACAGATCTTGTCTAAAAAAATAAAAAAGAAAGAAGAGAAAAAGGGAAAGCGAATGTAGGTGAGCAGAGCAGAGGTAGCTGGCTTTGTAGGCAGAGAAAGGCTGAAGCAGAAACAAAGCCTGGCTGGGCCTTTTCAGTTATTTTCCTGGAGAGATGCATTGCCCCTCGGTCTTGGATCACTGTAAGGAAATACCCGAGGCAGCTGACTTTAGAGTAAAGGTTTGTTTGTTGTGTAATTTCATATTTTATCCTAAGTTTAGCTGGGAAAAGGAAGGCGTTACTGGTCAAAAAACTTCACTATTCTGGGTTTTTTTTTTTTTGGTGAGAACTGTGATTCGGTGAAAGTTTGCTTTGGCTCCTAGCTCTGTAGGTCCCTGTCCAAGGTCCAGCAGTCCATGCTCTGGGCCTTTGTCCAGGGCTGTACACACAGCACAGCAGCTGCCCTGCTGTCCAGTAGCAACAAGAAAAACAGTTGGTTTCCCATAATCCCCAGTGAGGACCCTCCTCTACTGACCTAAGAAGCCCCCACAAGGTCACGCCTCTTACCAGGACACAGTGCCACCCTGGGCAGTACTCAGACTTTGGGGGAACACTCAACCTCTGAACCATAGCAGGTAAAAACCAAGACAATAGACAACAGAAAAATAAGTTACTCCAAGTTTGATTTCCTTCTTCTTTGTTTTTGAGATAGGGTTTCGTGAAGCCCAGGCTAACCTCCAACACGATATGTAGCTAAGGTTGGCCTTGCTGATCCTCTTGCCTCCATCCGCCAATTTCTGGGACTACAGATGTGTACTACATCTGCCTCTCCTGATTTCTAAGGTCAAATGAGAACTTAATTTTGATTTGGTGACATGGAACTTCTCCGCATGGGTGACATCATTTGAGGTTCAGTACCTAAAAGAGGGGGCTCCTTCCAAGACCCCAGACTAGGCACAAACCATACCCAAACACCTGTTTTCACAGAAAGATCCTTTATTAGGTGGGGAAGAAAGGTTAAAGTGGTTGCCTTCTGACTGAGGCAGAAAAACAGCAGCGAATGACCTTACAGGTGTAATTTTAAGAAGACAAACAGGGAGGCCTGTGTTAGAATGGGCTAGGGTGCAGTGGGTAAAGGAGATAGGGAATGAGCGAGAAGGGGATGGGGACAAGGGAGAGGGGCCGGGATATTTGTCCTGGAGAGACAAAGGACTGCCTCTGGATAGAGGGAGGGAGAACAGTGTGACCCATAGGCAAGTGGCTGCTTATAAAGGTAAAATGAGAAACCCTGTGTTAGGATTAAGTGTTTAATTTTAATTTGGCACGTTAATTAGGGGCTTTTGATTGCTGGACTTCAATACTTTAATAGCTGGACCTTGGTGGTCAACTTCAGGAGGAGGAAGTGGTCTAATAAGGGAAGAGACCTTTATGGCTTGCTTTAGGAATGTTCTCAGGGTCTCCCTGAGATGGGTGTTTGAGATCCTGAATCCCGGATGTATTCCTTGACTTCTTTATGCCTGCAGTGACTGAGATACACATGAACTCTTGTAGACTAAAGAAACGCATGAGCTCACATAACTGCACCGTGGAAGGAACTGGAAAATATCTTGGCCTTGGTCAACTGCGTAGGCAAAGAGCTCTCCTCATCTCCCATCCTGTAATGGTCCCTTCCAGAACAAATGGAAATACGGCCAGTCTCGGGGCTGTTTCAGGGCAGAACAGAAGGTCTACACAGAGAAGAACCCTGATTGGCCAGTTTGGGACCATGCTAGGCCATGTCATCTGCAGGCCAGCCAGTAGGAAAGCCGTGTGAAGAGACAGGCAGCTTCAGTTTGAATTACCTGCTGGAAATGAGGTAACCCTCGAAAATGGAGGAAGAAGAGCCTGAGAGATGATTCAGTCCATAAAGTACTTGCCATAGACTCGAGTTCAGCTCTCCAGCGCTCATGTAAAAAGCTAGCACAGCAGTGTGTATCCATTGTCGCAGATCAAGCCAGGCAAGGACAGGACAGCAGGACCCCTGGGGCCTGTTGGCCACCCAGACTAGATGAATTGATGAGCTCCATCCAGGTACAGTGAGAGATCCCGTTTTTGTTTATTTAATCACGCTACACTCTTACTTGCTGAGCCATCTCTCGCCCTTACCTTTATTTATTTATTGACGAGGACATGGGGATTGTGACCGGCAAGAACAAAGTTGATGGCAACAAATACAAACCCGGTAACTGCAGGAAGACGGTGCATATCTCTTCTCTGGCAGAGCAGGAGCGGGCTGCAGTCCAGGCATGTGGGCTGCCTTGCTCTGTTCTAGAAATAAGAACCCTGTCTAAGTGTTCCACCATACACACTGGAGTGTGCCCTCGCACACAGGTTCAAACTGGCACATTTTGATTGAGCCCTTTGCTGGACAAGGTGGTACATGCCCTTAATCCCAGGAGACAAAGGCAGAGTCCCACAGCTTGCACCACTTGGTTCTCTGCTTCAGTGGCCAATGAATTGAATAGTTTCCTGCCCCCGCTTCCCATCCATTAGCACAATACTGTGTGGAGTGGTAAATTGTGGATAACAGACTCTCCCGTTAGGTGGAAGGATGGGGAGGGAACCCAGTCACCAGCCATGGCAGCTAGTGAACCCCCAGACAGGAAGTGTGAGGTTTCCTGTCCTGGCACATTCCTTGTCTGTTGTCTGCTGGGGTCTCCAGCTTAGCTATCTGGGAGCCCCTCCCTTGGTCGTGTCGTCATTTGGGGACACATTTGCTGAGAGCATTGGGGAGCTGGAGGGATGGCTCAAAAGTTAAAAACACTGGCTGTTCTCATGGACCCTGGTTCAGTCCCCAGCACCCACATGATGGTTCACATTGTAACTCCAGTTCCAGTGGATCCAGTGCCTTCTTCTGGCTTCTGTGGGCACCAGACACATGCAGTGTTCATACATACACATAGGCAAAATATACACATAAAGTAAAAATGAGTAAAACTTAAAAAGCAATAGCATTCAGACCCATGACAAACCTTCCCACACCTTCCATCCCTTAGATCCAGACCTGAGGCTTCTATCTGATGTCTCCCTCTGCACACTGGGATGCAATCCGTATCTTCACACCAGGCAAGCACTGTGCTGCAGTCAGCTCTCCATTGACTTTGTCAAGCCTCAGCATCTCTCTTGGTCTTGACCTTGACGTTGACCTTGGGCTACTCACCGTCCCGTTTGCAATGCCTTTTGCTTGGGAACCAGGATGAGGCAATAGGGAAACAAAGACCTGAGCATTCTCGGAAAATCCACCCCACAGTGGACCCCAATGTCCCTCAGTGCTTCTGGACACATTGCCCCCTCCTTTCCAACTTTGTTGAAAACGGTGAGGCCCTCCCTGGCCTGGGTTGTGGGAGTGCCCTTCTCAGGGTTTCTATTGCTGTGATAAAGGCCATGACCAAAAGTAACCTGGGGAGGAAAGGGTCTGCTTTGCCCACATTTTCACTTCTTAGTTCACTGAGGGAAGCCAGAGCAGGAACTCAAGGCAGGAACTGGAGAAGAAGCCATGGGTGGGTTGATGGGCCAGGGGCTGCTGCTTACAGGCTTGCTCCTCATAGCTTGCTCAGCCTGCTTTCTTAAAGTACTCAAGGCCACCAGCCCACAGGTGGCACCACCCACAGTGAGCTTGGGCCCTCCCACATCAATCATCAATCAGGAAAATGCCCCACAGGCTTGCTGGTGTGGGCATTGTCTCAACTGAGGTTCCCTTTTCCCAGATGACTCTCTCTTGTGTCAAGTTGATACAAAAGAGGCACAGGGGCCGGGCGTTGGTGGCGCACGCCTTTAATCCCAGCACTCGGGAGGCAGAGGCAGGCGCATCTCTGTGAGTTCGAGGCCAGCCTGGACTACCAAGCGAGTTCCAGGACAGCCTCCAAAGCTACAGAGAAACCCTGTCTCGAAAAACCAAAAAAAAAAAAAAAAAAAAAAAAAAAGAGGCACAGGGAACCTCTCACAACATCCGCAGCAGGAAACAGTTCTGTCGCCTGTACTATTGGTCTCCTCTCTCCCCTCAGGGTGCAACATAGAAAATGCCTGCTACCCACTGGGTGTGTGCGCCGAGCGGACTGCCATCCAGAAGGCCATCTCGGAAGGGTACAAGGATTTCAGGGCTATTGCCATCTCCAGGTGAGTGGGATACGCCAGTTACTGCAAAATTCATCATTCCTCCACCTAACACACACACACACACACACACACACACACACACACACACACACACGCACGCACGCACGCACGCACGCACGCACGCACGCACGCGCAACTCATGCATTCATTCGCCAGACCCATATCTGTTGTATATGCTCTTGGCCGACAGGGGAAGGCCCTGGGGCTCAATGCTAGGGATAAGGAGGTAAATAAGAAATAGAGTCTGAGGCTGGGGACATGGTTCAGTTAGCAAAGTGCTTGCCTAGGATGCCAAGACCGTGGATTTGACCCCAGCATTGCATAAAACTCTGTAATCCCAGCACTCAGGAGATAGAGGCAGGAGGATCAGAAATTCAAGACCAGCCTTGGCTACATGAGACCTTGTCTCAAAAACTCAGCAGGGGTGGAGGTGGGGTGAAGAGACGACTCATAGCGAGCTTAATGCATGTGTTGAGGACTTGAGTTCAGAGCATGTGTTGAGGGCTTGAGTTCAGAGCATGTGCTTGAGGACTTGAGTTCAGAGCATGTGCTTGAGGACTTGAGTTCAGAGCATGTGCTTGAGGACTTGAGTTCAGAGCATGTGCTTGAGGACTTGAGTTCAGAGCATGTGCTTGAGGACTTGAGTTCAGAGCATGTGTTGAGGACTTGAGTTCAGATCTGAGCAAACCAGGTAGAGAGACAGCCGTGACGGTTTGCACCGGTGATCCCAGCACTGGGAAGGTGGGGACTGGCAGATCCCTGGAGCTGGCGGGCCAGCAGTCTAGTCAAAAGCGTGAGCTCCAGGTTCAGTGAGAGAATCTTTCAAAAAACAAGGTGGGGGCTGCAGAGGTGGCTGGGTAGTTAAAAGCACTGGCTGCTCTTGCAGAGAACCTGAGATTTGGTTCCCAGCACTGACATGGTAGCTTACAACCATCTGTTACTCCAATTCCATGGGATCCAGTGCATTCCTTAGGTCTCTGCAGACATGCACATGGTACATAGACATACATGCAGGCAAAATACGCATATACAACCAGCACACACCCTTAATCCCAGCACTCAGGAGGCAGAGGGAGGCGGATCTCCGGGAGTTCAAAACCAGCCTAGTCTACAAGAGCTAATTCCAGAACAGACTCCAAAGCTACACAGAGAAACCTGTCTTGAAAAACTAATATATATAATAAATTTAAAATACATATACACATATGTATATATACACATATATGCACAAACTATATATATATGTATGTTTATATATATGGCATATAGTAGCTGAGGAAGACATCTGGAGTTGACTTACAGCCTCCACACATGCATGCACACATTCCTGCATGCACACATACAGGCACACATACATACCCCCACACACACACAAGCACAAGGAAAAATAATAATAAGATAGAGGGACTCTATCAGTTGTAGTGCAACGGGAGACAGTCCAGAACTCCACTGGTAGCCTAAGGCCTCCCCTTGAACTTTTAGTAGTAAAACTAAATTCTTGACTATGCTGAGGTTTTAAAACAAGCCACTATGAAGTGGAATTGGAGTTTATTAAAAGACACTGAAAATGACCCTTAGGTTTATTTTATATATATAAGTGTTTGCATGAATGTAATATATGCCTGTGCATCACATGTGTGCCTAGTGCCTGAGGTCAGAAGAGGGCATCGGATCTCCTGGGACTGGAGTTACAGACACTTGTGATGCCCTGTGGGGTTGCTGGGAATCTAACCCAGGTCCTCTGCAATAACAAGTACTCTTAGCTGCTGAGCCACCTCTCCAGTCCTTTAAAATATGTTTTAAATGTATACTTTAAGCACGAAGGTTAATAGAAAGAGAGGTGCCCAAGGAAGAATGAGAGGCACTCAAGAGCTGGATGTGGGTTTCTCTGTGAACAAGGTTGACCTTGAACTCAGAGATCTGCCTGCTCTGGCTCCGGAGTGCTGGGACTCAAGGCTGTGCCACCTCTTCCCAGGAGGTGGGCTTCTCAAAGGAAATCTGTTTGCACTGTGTTGAGCCTGTGTTGGCTACATGAGGGATTTGGAAGCTTTGGGATCTCATCATTCACCTGGCTTCTAGGGGCTCCTCTTCCTCTAACTTTCTCTCTTTTCTTTTCCTTTTTTTGTTGTTTTGTTTGTTTGTTTGTTTTGAGACAAGGCCTCACTGTACAGCCCTAGCTGGCTACACAGTTATGAAATTCACTATAGACCAGGCTGACATGGAACTCACAGAGGCCCCTGCCTCCCTTAGGACTAGAGGTGTGAACCATGCCTGGCACAGTCTTGAATTTCCACTACTGAGAGGCTTCAACTAGATTCCTGAATGAGCAGCTTCTAACCCTTTTCATTTTCCTATAGTTTTCTGGTCTTTCTGTTCTACCTCAGACAGTGCCCTAGGGGTTAGCCTATAGAGCAGATAGACCCAGGATGGCGCTGCCACAGAAGGTATGTTTCTGTCCTGAACAGTAAGTATGACACAATCCTCCGGAAGTGCAGTAGAAAGACGTGACACAGAAACAGCCAGAGGACCTGAGGTTCACTTGATATAGACTCCCTTGCCACCACCCCACTTCTATAGACAAAAAGTAAACAAAATCCTGAGGCTTGAGAAGATAAGGACTTTCCTGGGAGTTCGTGGTAAAGCTGGGACAAAATGCACGTCTCAGAGTCGTAGTCCAGGGCACAGTCCACTGTGTAGTTCTGTGCCAGGAGGCCAGATACTGTTCCCTGCTTTCCTTAAGGGGGTCCAGCACCAGCTGCTCAGCTTTGCTAACTTCAGCAACCAGGTAAAGGAGCCAAAACCAAGGTCCAAAACCAAGCTGGGGCAGTGACCTGGTGACAGCCGGGTAAGCACTCTGCTTCAGGCTAACCCAACTCCAACTAGGATCCAGCTGGATAAGAATTCCAGTCAAGGGCTGGAGAGATGGCTGAGAGGTTAAGAACACTGGCTGCTCTTCCATTGGTCCTGAGTTCAATGCCCAGCGACCTCATGGTGGCTCACAAGCCTCTACAAAGAGATCTGGTGCCCTCTTATGACCTGCAGACATACATGCAGCCAGAACACGGTATACATAATAAATAAGTAAATAGACAAAACCTCCAGTCAGTGCTCTCTTGTACCCCAGATATGGTTGCTCTACCTCCCATGAGCCTCCTTCAAGGGGAGTGCAGTGGGGTCTTGTTGGCACTGGACGGAGACTGTGTGGTTAAGACCGAAGCCTCTGTGAATGGTCTCTTTACTGGTTTAAACCTTAACAATTTAACACTTTTGTGGTGAGCTGCACTTGGGTGCCCCTTTTGTACTGGCTAGGAGGGAAGTAACCTTGGCAAATTAAGGGTTGAGGAAACTGACACAGGAAATGGTGAACCCAGCCAGCAGAGCTGCAGGCCAAGCCTTGGTCTTTAGCAGTGTGGGCACAGACTCTGGAAGGGAGTTGCAGCCTGGTAGAGAAACAGGGGCTCTGAGAGCAAGGCTTACATGGTTTGTGCAACAGGGAGGATCCTCTGGCTTTTCCAAGACCCCATGCTTTGTCCCAGTCTGGCCTGGAGGGGGTCTGAGTGCCTGAGTATCATGTTGGAGTGACTGGAGCCAGGGATGCCCTTGAGAATCAAGGCAGTGATTCCCAGCTTTCTGTGGAGCTGAGGGCTGTCCAAGCTTCCCTTCGGCTCCCAGAGAATAAACGAGGCTGTGCTGGGAACATTTTGTGCAGCTGAGGACAGATCAGGATGTGCATTGCACTTTATGAAGAAGTGGGGAGAAATAACTCAATTTCAAAGCTGATCCAAGAAAGTAATGGTGTTCTGTGGAAGAGAAGCCAAAGCCAGCAGAATGGTGCAGTAGCCCGCTGGCTCTGTTAGCATTTGCCCAAGGAAAGGCTTTTTCCCCTGCCCATCAGCTGCTTTTAAATATGATTAACAGGGTTTTGCTATGATCAGCAGATGTCCTTACATAACACTACCTGCAGTTTCCAACATCCAACTGGCCTACTCTGGATTTTTAACCCATAACCATATACCCAGTCAACAATGCCGTCATTATCACACTACAGACATTAAACAGAGAGCATGGAGGAATGGGAAATGCTAGCCAGCTCTTATTAGCACAGAACGAGGCTGAGCAATCCAGTCCCCTCCCTGGAAACACAAAGGATGGAGATGCTGTGGGCTCTGGCAGAGCCAGGTGAGATTCTGGGGCCTCACTGGACTCCTAACCTGTGTCCTCAGCATCAGTAGGCTTCTGGCTTACCAAGCTGAGAATGACCCCAGTGTGTGACCAAGGTCTGCACAAACTGCAGGAACCCTTGATCACCAATAAAAAGAACCCAGGTGTGGTTTGAAAGAAAATGGCCCCCAAAGGGAATGGCACTATTAAGAGGCATTGCTTTGTTGAAGTAGGCATGGCCTTGTTGGAGGAAGTGTGTCACTGTGGGGGCGGGCTTTAAGCTCTCTTATGCTCAAGCTGTGCCCAGTGTCTCAGCTGACTTCCTGTTGTTGCCTGCAAGATGTAGGACTCTCGGCTACTTCTCCAGCCCCACATCTGCCTGCACACTGCCATGCTCCCCATATGATGATAATGAACCAAACCTCTGAACTATAAGTGAGCCACCCCAAGTAAATGTTTTCCTTTGTAAGACTTGCCGTGGTCATGGTGTCTGTTCACAGCAATAGAAACTAAGGCACCAGGGGTAGAGAATCAGGAAAGCATGTGGGAGATGTTTGGATGTAACTAGCATGTCTGAGGGGTAGTGCTCACTCTTGGCAAGAATGTTGAGTGACACTTAAAAGCCCCAGCTCCAGAGTCCCTGAGGCTGGGTTCTAATCATTCCCTACTGTCTACCTAAAGTGTTTAGAAGCCTCTGAACCTGGAATTTTATGTTATCTTATTTTATTTTATTTTTAGACTAAATCTTCATGTAAGCCAGGCTACCTTGAACTCACTTTGTAACTGAAATTCTAACCTTTCTGCCTTCACCTCCTGGGTGCTGGTATTGTGGGTGTGTGCTATCATTCCCACTCTAGGCGGTACTATGAATCAAATCCTGGCCTCTGTGCATTATTGTCAACCCCAACTTCAATCCCAGCCCTCAGCCTGTGTTTTTTTTAAAGATTTATTTATTTATTATGTATACAGTGTTCTGTCTGCATGTATCCCTGCAAGCCAGAAGAGAGTACCAAATCTCATTAAGGATGGTTGTGAGCCGGGCGTTGGTGGCGCACGCCTTTGATCCCAGCACTCGGGAGGCAGAGGCAGGCGGATCTCTGTGAGTTCGAGGCCAGCCTGGTCTACAAGAGCTAGTTCCAGGACAGCCTCCAAAGCCACAGAGAAACCCTGTCTCGAAAAAAAACAAAAAAAAACAAAAAAAAAAACAAAAAAAAAAGGATGGTTGTGAGCCATCATGTGGTTTCTGGGAATTGAACTCAGGACCTCTGGAAGAGCAGGTAGTGCTCTTAACCTCTGAGCCATCTCTCCAGTCCTCAGCCTGTTTTTTTGTTTAGTTTTGTTTTGGGTTTTTTTTTTTTGAGGGGGAATTGCTTTTTCAAGACAGGGGTTTTTTTTGTGTAACAGCCCTGGCTGTTCTGGAACTCATTCTGTAGACCAGACTGGCCTCAAACTCACAGAGATCCGCCTGCCTCTGCCTCCCGAGTGCTGGGATTAAAGGCTTGTACCACCAGGCCCAGCATCAGCCTGTTTTTTAAAGTGGTAAAAATCATGCGATGAACAATACGCCATTGCACTATCATCAGGCCACATGTAATGACTTCTGTGAACTCCCTAACACATAGTGAGTCAATGAGAACCGCATTTGTGAAGTTGTCCTTATGACTTCTGCAAGCTGCATGAAAAGCAAAGGCAGATGCATGGGTTCTGAGTTCAAATCCCGGTTCTGCCCCTGACTGGCCCTATGACCCTGAGTAAGTTATTTCTTTTGTGACCTCTAGCATGTGTGCAGGCTCTTTCAGGGTGTTGGGGGATTAAATGAGCTGGCTGGCTGGCTTCTCCCAAGAGCCTAAGCTTAACATTTGGCACTGCAGTGGAGAATAAAATGAGCCATTGTTCCCAGAGTTCCCGGATGCACTTTTGGTGGTTGAGACTAAAACTGAATCCATCTTCCTGGTAGGATGCAGGATTGATCCCCTGGAGACTCCTAACTCAGGTCACCTTGTCTAAGAGAAGAAATGACAGGGCCACATCACATAGGGTCTCACTGACTGTGGAAGGGAGGCTGAGTTCCATGGGCAACTTGCCCACACTCTGTCTTTTGTAACAGCATTTCCTGGCTGCTTTGTTCCTCTATCCAGGTGGTAAGGGCCCTGAAGGCAGGGGCACTCTGAGGGTCTCTTGTAGCTTCTTTTCCATGACTGCCTGGCTTAGAGCAGGCCCTGGGTCAGCACAGGAAAATGAAAACAAATTGTAAGACAGTCAAACCTTGTTAACACCTGCCACCCAGAAACTGCATGGGTTAACTTGATTCAGGTGCCCTGGATGGGGCCCCCATTCCCTTATATTCCCATGGGTTTTCTCCTGAAGCGGGAAGCCTTCTCAGGAAGAACCCTACCTTTTCAGAACCATTTTGCTTTATTTGCCAGGCACAATGGAGAATTCCTTTAATCCCAGCACTTGGGAGGCAGAGGCAGGTGGAGCTCTGTGAGTTCAAGGCCAGTCTGGTCTACAGAGTGAGTTCCAGGATAGCCAGAGCTATGGAGTGAGACAATGTCTCAAAAAATAAATACGTTAGATAGATAGATAAATAGATAGATAGACAGACAGACAGACAGACAGACAGATAGGTAGATAGATAGATAGATAGATAGGTAGATAGGTAGATAGACAGATAGATAGACAGACAGACAGATAGAATGAAAAGCAGAAAAATTCTTTGACGGGACCCTCAGATCAAGGTCAGTTATCACAGAATCCAAAAAGTAGCCTCTGACTGCTCTGTCCCCTGTCTTCGTCTGCCCCCACTTGGTCACTTGCTGACTGGCTCCTCCTCTCATCAGTCTAGAAAGTCCTGGTCACAGTGGGTTTGTGTGTCTTGTTCATTGTTGTCCCCCTAGTGCCAGTGGCAGTACATAGTAAGTGCTCAATAAATACTTGTCATCTGAAATGAGCCAGCACCTATAGAACCCTTTGTAGGGAATCTCAGCATGCTAGGCACTGGGGACATAGTACAATGGCTACTGTTAACACACAGTAAGATTAATCATCAACAACATAGAGCACGGGTATGTAATAAAGCGGTATGTGATAAAGTACTAAAATGATGAGAGATTGTGGACGGAAGAGAAGAGGTGTACAGAAATTAGCCCAGGCAATAACAAGATAGCACTCTGAGGCTTATAAAGCCCTGGGGCTGGGGATTTAGCTGACCTGGAAGAGTGTCTGTGTAGCATGCACGAAGCCATGGGGTCTGTCCCCAGCAATGCATAAAACCAGGCATGGCAGTGCTTGCCTGTAATGCATGAACTTGGGAGCCGGAGGCAGGAGGTCACAAAGTCAAGGTCATCATCAGCTATGTGGCAAGTCGGAGGCCAGCCTGGGCTACATAAGACCCTGTCTCAAAAATAAAGTTTGCACATCCCGTAGACATGTTATCTCACTTTGTTGAAATCCTGCCAAGTAGATGACATTGTTGCCTGCATGTTACAGACAAAGGAACAATCCCTGGATGACTTACAGTGACTCAGAGCCACACAGTGAGCAAACGGAGTTGACCAAGATTCAGCGTTTAAATCCCATGATCTTTTAGAGCAGTTGCAGAGCTGTGGGCTCAGAAGGGCAGGGATGGTGGCGCCAGGCACCAAGGCCCCTACAGTCAGATCTGTGTTTTCTAGGCACCATCCTTTGTCCTCTGTCTGAGCCGAAGGACTGCTCAAAGGGGACTGAATCCTCGCAAGCATCCCTGGCTGGAAGTGCGTGTCTTTCTCTGTGGCTCTCAGATGCCAGGAGCCCGTTTTCTTCTTTGATATACATTCCTGGCACTCTTCCACGCCCAGGGCCAGGCCTTTGTGTGTAATCACTCCCTTTTCTTTCTTTCTACAGACACTTTTACTTATGCGTGTTGTATGTATGTGTGTGTGCGAGCGTGTGCCCGTGAGTGTGCGCGTGAGCGAGTGTGTGCACATGCACGTGCGCTCCCAAGGAGGGACACGGGAAGGCTTCAGTTTCTCTAAGAGCCAGAGCCATAAGTGGTTGTGAGCTGCCCTGTGTGTGCTGGGACTCTGGTGCCCTGGAAAAGCCAAACATATTCATAACCACTGAGCCGTCTCCCCAGCCCCCACCCCACTTTTATTTCTCTAAAACACAGAACACCCCTTGGACTTCAGAATAGCCTTCTGTTAGTCATCTCACCAAACCTATGACCTCATCAATAAAACAGCTGTCCTGATACACGGCTCGTTCTGAAAATTAAACCTAATGACATAGTTAAGTGCCTGATACAGTAGTTTTTCACTAAGTGGGAATGCATGACTCTACTCTTCCTGTGAGGACCGGCTGATGCCACCTTCTGTGTGTGACATTGTCTCGCTCCGGTTGCAGGCTTTTTACTGTGCATTCTTAATGCGTTTTACTTAAAATAATAAGTCTAATTTTGTGTCACCTACTGGGACCAGCCTGCCTATGAAGGATAGAGAGAAGCTCTCCTTGTCCCCTGTGTCTTGGAGCGTGGGCGACAAGACAGCTAAGTGCCCCTTAAACATTTATGAGTGTACTGGTGAGGCCAGCGTTGCCACAGTGGCTTTGCTTTCGGGAGTGTGGCCAGCCGCCAAGTTGCCTTCCCAGCTTCCAGGACACAGTGATTCTGGGAATCAGGAGTTGTCTGATGGGGTATGACCTGGTTTGCAGCAGGACAGGGACTCTGTTTGTGAATCTCAGCATCAGCCAAAAGCCTTGTGACACACTGCCCTGAGTTGAGTCTTTGTTTCCCCAGTGACTTGCAAGAAGAGTTCATCTCTCCGTGTGGAGCCTGCCGACAAGTCATGAGAGAGGTAAGAACGTGGTTTCTCCCTGGAAAGCAAGCCTGAGATCTCCTAGGGGCCACAGCAGATTGCCAGGGTGGACAGTTACTGCCTGGAGTACTCAGCTGGCTGATTCCGATGGCCTTCCTGGGTTCACATGAGCTGATGGAAATGAGTCCCTCTGTAGCACAAATAGTAAAAACCCAGAGACAGATGTTGGGGTTCAAGCTGAAGATCAGAAAAGCAAAGCAGCCAGTCACTAGAGAGTTCATAATTCTACCAAGGCTGGGGCAATCCTGTCCTCAGCGCAACTGCAGACTGAACACACTGCACTCCAGTCTCCACCCACCGTATACTCCTCCTCTCTAGTGCTGGGATTAAAGGCGTGCACCACCACCGCCCAGTTTCTGTGACTAACTAGAGTGAGTGGCTGCTGGGATTGAAGGTGTGAGCCACCACTGTCTGGCCTCTATGGCTAACTAGTGTGGCTAGCTTTGCACTCTGATCTTCAGGCAAGCTTTATTTGTTAATCATAAACAAAACACACCACATCCCTCTTTGAACATACACATACTGACAACTCTGTTGTTGATGCCAGCCACTGAGCCAGCTCTGGGGATAAGCCAGGCCAGGCTCGCCCTCACTGAGCTTCGAGCAGCTGTATCAAAATACAGGAAAAGAAGTTGGGGGACAGAGGGGCAGCAGGGGACAAAGAACAACCAACTACAGCCTGCGGGCCAATCCCAGCATGCCTTTTGATTGTAGATAAGTCTGGTAGAGGCACAGCTATGCCCAGTTGCTGCTGTGTTGGTGTTGACCACTCTGGCCCCGCGGTAGCAGAGCTGAGCTGTTACAGAAAGGCCACATGGCCTGGGAAAACCAAAATACTTCCTATTTGTCCTTTGTCAGCAAAAGCTTCCCCACCTTCTGCTCCAGTGGCCATGAAGGTGACAGTCTAGTAGAAATATAAATCATGAGAAGCAATGAGACAGAGAGTTCTAGAGAAGGAGAATTCTAGACAGACAGATCAGCTGGATTCGCATGGACCTAGATGCTTGCTATGTGGTGATCAGGGGAAGCACAAAGGGCAGTAATGGCCGCGGGGAGCGATGGGATATAGGATCACGGGCTTGGACTGGGGCCGGGTCACGGCTGTGCCAGCCAGGGAACAGAGGGCACGTTTATCCCAAAATAAAGAGAACCGCCACGCTATGCACTTAAAAACGACAAAAAATGGCAAGTTTTACATACTGTGTATTTTACTACTGGTTTCGGAAAATCAAGAAAAGCAAGGCATGATAGCATGCACCTGTAATCACAGAACTCAGGAGTCGATGGGAAGTTTACTGCAAGCTTACAGCCAGCTTGGGCTATGTAGCAGATTCCAGGTCAGCTGTGGTTATCCAGCAAGATCCTGGCTCAAACCAAGAAATGAATAAACAACAAAATTGAAAATGGAGAGAGAGAGAGAGAGAGAGAGTAAAGGGGAATATGAGGCAAGTTTTAGTATTTATTTTTAATAGGTGTATGTGCCACGGCACCAATGTGGAGGTCAGAGTATGACTTTTGAAAGTCCATTCTCTTCTTCTACCATGTTGACCTCAGAGATTGGATTCGACAGCCAGGCTTGGCAGCAAGCCCCCTTGCCCGCTGAGCCATCTTGCTGTCCCTGGCAGGTTTTATAAAACATACCAATACGAGGCTTTGAGTTTGTTAACCGTGAAAACAAAAGGGTGGTTTGGATGGTGGGGTGGCTGGCTGGCTGGTTTTGCTGTCCTGGGGACGGATGGAACTCAGGGCCCAGTATGTACTAGACAAATTCTCTACATTGTGCCCATGCCTGACCATGGGTTCTCACTCAGGCCCAGTGGGAGCGTCTCGTGTTGATGTCGCATTGGGGGATGTCAGGAGGACTTAAGTATTCTCAAAGAAGCCCATGCACTCTAGGGTCTCCCCAAATGAAAGCCACAAGGCCACAGAGTCCCAAGCATGGTCCTTGAGCTGCAGCTTGCTGCGAGAATACTCAGAACCCGGCAGCTCCCTCAGCCCCACCTGAGCCCAGCCCACCTGATGACAGCTGTCACCATTTTTATCTCCGGTAGCATGAAAGGAGAGTGGCCAGCCCACGACGTGCCGATGGCAGCCAAGGCTGACTCCAGACTCCCTCTCGTCTCACTGCCTATGGCTCCTGGAGCCGCACCCTGGACCACTGTGCAGGAGAGCTTGTGGGGTTTTGCCACGGGGCAGGTGTGTGCTGCCTGTCCGGCGAGCATTCTCGTGGTGGGGCTCGTGCTGGTGGAGGGCAGTTTGGTTTATTTGTCTGCCTTGTGCTTCCCAGCCCTGCAGTTCACAGAGCTCGTCTCCCAAGTCCAGATGGAAAAGCCACCCCAGTGGCATTGAATTCCCAGAGCAAACTTCACCTCACCACAGAGGGGTGAGCACAGCTGCCCAGCACAGTGACTATGTCTAAGGAATCCACCAGCAAACGCCAAATCTCTGTCACCCAAGGCCCCAACTTGATCCACTTGCTTATGGTCATTTTCTCCAGAGAGAGACAGAGAGAGAGCATGCGCACAAATAAAAATATCTGGAGGGGAGAGGGAACATGAGACCAAATGTGAACAGTGTGCCATGAGGCCTGGGAACTGGGGACCTGGCATCTAAACCCTCCTACATCTACCTCACACCCATACCCTCAGGCACAGCCTGCCAAGCAGGAAAGTTCCTCCCTTGAAACCTTAATTCTGAAAACCCCAAAGACTGATAGTGTCTGGGAACAGCTTGGGGATCCAGACAGATGTGTGGAAGGACAGGAGGCCATGGACCAGCCTTGGCTGGCAACCCACACATCAGTCACAGTGCCACAGCCTCTGTAAACTGAGCACCTTCTGAATGCCAGCGTCTGTGAATCTCACCATGCCTGCCAGGGAGATGCTAGGTCTGTAGACTCTATCTCTATCACTGACTTAACTCTCTGCCTACCCACCCCTAGTACCCTTTCCTATCTCTAAAATACCCCATAGATGAAAACAGTGAGCCCCAGAGGACCCACAGCAAAGTCGGGTGTGGGAGAAAGTTCTGGAGACATGTTCATCTTTGCTGCTATATTAGCGACTTTCCTGTTACTGTGATAAAGATCAAAGCAATTTAAGAAAACCAATTATGTGGGGCTTACAGTTCCATAGGGTTAGGGTCCCTAATAGGAGGGACAGCAGAGGGACGGCAGATGTGGTGACTGGAGCTGAAAACTCACATCTAGAACAGTAAGCAGGAAACAGTGAGTGTGCTGGAAGCCATGGATTTTAAAACCCCAAAACCTGCTTTCAGTGGCACTTCCTCTAGTAAGGCCATGCTTCCTAAACCTCCCCAAATGGCCTCCCAACTGAGGACCAGGCATCCAATGCAACTTGCTTCCAGACCACTGCAGCTGGCTTGATACCACTTAGCCTCAGTTTCTTCAACAGTAAAGTAAACCCAGTGGGAGCAACCACCTCCACAGGTAGATAATGCTACAATGCAAGCATAGTATGTCGAGTGTCACCAAACAGACACGAACTCCTCCCGGAATGAGACACAGAGGTGAACCTGTAAGGGACAACAGATGTTAACTGTCATTGTCATTGCAGAAGGAAGCCTAGCTCAATGGAAGAGACTTTTGTTTTTATTGTATTTTGAATTAAGCCTATGCATCTGTGTGGGGATGTGTACATTCAAATACAGTTGCCCATGAAGGCCAGAAACCCCAGCTCTTCTGGAGCTGGAGTTACAGGAAATTGTGAGCTTCCCAGCAGAGGAGCTGGGAATCTAACTTGGCTCCTCTGCAAGAGCACTAATTGCTTTTAACCACTGAGCCATTTCTCCAGCCCAAGGCACAGGCATTCAACAGCTGCTGGGAAGATGGCTCGTTTGTGTGCAACCCTGAAGACCAGAGTTTGCATCCCCAGAAACCCACTTAACTGCAAGGTGGTCTAGGGAGATGCCTGCAGTCCTGGTCTTTGAAGGCAGAAACAGGATCCTCAGAGCAAACTGGCTGGCAGGACTAGCCCTGTGGGTGAGCTCTGGGTTTGATGGAGAGGCCCTGCCTCAGTGAATAACATGGAAGAGCCATGGAGGACGACTCAAGACCCAACCCTTGGGCTCCCACATGCATGAGCTCCCATGTATGCTCTCACACATATACTCACATGCATACCACACATACAGGAAAATGTATTAGTTTTACAAAGGTTTTGGGGGTGTCCTCTAGGGAATTCCCATGGTCCATTGACCACAGGCCATGCACTGTGCTGTTGACTGGTGGTACTCTTCCATTGATCCCTCCTCAGGCTCTGTGAACCAGGAGAGACACTGGGGCACAGAGGACCATTAGACAGAAAATCGTAGTCAGGGTCAAAGCCACGCCTTCCGTCGCCCTCAGTCCCCTAGCCTCTCTCACAGTTTTGCTCTCTTTTCCAGTTTGGCACCGACTGGGCCGTGTACATGACCAAGCCAGACGGCACGTATGTAATCAGGACAGTCCGGGAGCTGCTGCCAGCCTCATTTGGGCCTGAAGACCTGCAGAAGATTCACTGAAGGCTAGAGAATGCCTGCCTGCCTGTGTGGGTCTGGGTTCCCACCTGAGGGACAGGCCTTGGAAGATTTCATAGACATGCTGTCCCTGGCTGGGTCTGGAGACACCTGCCACATGGGTCCCAAATGCCTAGGCAAGGGCGACCTTGATTCCCACACCAGTCTCCCCAAGAGTGATGGAAGCTGTCACTCAGTCTGGGCCAAAGCCTGAATCCTCTTGAGGACTCAGGGCACTCCATCCTCTCCTCTCCCTCTTGCAGGCCCTGGCATTCCAGGCCTGGCCTGCCTCCCTGCCAGCCTTCCAAGGTTCTTCCAAGTCCTATTCTGTGTGCCTTTTCTGATTGTAAACACCACAGAACGTCCTGACTGAAAAGAACGTGTTTTTGCTCTTCATCCCCATGTGCAGCTCTCAGGGTGTGGCTCATCGCGCAGGGCGGTCTTAGCTGTCACCTTCAGTCAGAGGATGTGGGTGCTTCCCAGTGCACTTCTCCAAGCGGCATCTGAGGTCAGAGGCTCCTTACCCCTGTGTTCTTGGTCAGGAGACCCTTAGGCAGGGTTTGATTCCAGGGCTCACTTGCTATAGTGTGGACATGGGATGGAAGCTGGGTCGTTGGGGGTGTCCCTGAAGGATATGGAGGTATGCAGGCGTCTTCCTCCTCCTCGTTTCCTAGCTATGAGGTGAGCTGGTCTTTACCACACACTCATAGTGGTGTGCACCTCCCCAGCCAGAGGCTGAAAGTCAAGGGGCCCATGGACCAGACCCCCAAAACTGTAAGGCCGAATAAACCAGTCCTCTTCATAAGCTAATTCTCCCAGGTGTTTGTTACAGGTCGGAACGCTGACTGACACACCATTGCTGAGGCCGGTTTGGGCTCAGCAGAGACACGAGTCCTGGTGTCAACTGTAGTCAGACTTTTCTTTGGGCCATCAGCTCATAAATAACAACATGGAGACTTTATTATGAAAGCTTGGCCTTAGCTTAGGCTTGTTTCTAGCTAGCTCTTATAACTTAAATTAACCCATTTGTACTTATCTACATGCTGCCACGTGGCTTGTGGCTTTAACGTCTCCTCCTGCATGTCCTCTGTGCCCAACTGGCAACTTTTGGGCACCTAGATTCATCCTCCTCTTCCGTTCTCTCCCTGGAAGTCCCACCTATGCCTCCTGCTTAGCTATTGGCCATTCAGCCCTTTATTACACCAATCACAGCACTATGTCTTCAGTGTACAGATTCCCACAACAGCCCCCCACTGCCACAGCTGTGGTAACAGTGTAAGAGGAAGTGTGGGCAAGGAAGAAAAGGTCTCTCAGGACCCACTAAGTGCCACATGCTTTTGTACTACTCTCTGTTTTCAATGCTCAGTGGTTCTGGGAGCTGGCTGTCACCTCTTTTTAGGTCATGGGGCAGAGTAGCTGAGAGCTTGCTTGACAGCCAATGGCAGAAATTAGTAGAGAATCCAGATCCCTCAGGGTTTGATGGCAAACACCTTTAATACTGGCACTCTCGGGAGGCAGAGGAAGGCAGTGATCTGTGAGTTCGAGGCCAGCTGGGACTACATAGGGAGTTTAAGGCCAGTCAGGGTGACATAATAAGATCTGTCTCAGCCAAAAGAGAAAGGTCCAGATCCCTTGGCCCCACAGTGACCTGGAAGTTGTACACTCTGCTGAGGTTTTTGTCATGTATGAACTCACTGCACCCTCATTTATCAAACCCATAGGTGGTTTTGCTTTTACTTTATCAATAAACATATCAAAGACCAGAGAGGTTAAATCATTTGCCCATGCAGATCCAGCAGGTGAGTCAACTCTGGTTCCGAGCAGCTTTTCCCCAACTCTGCACGGCCAGGACTGTTTGCTGAGGGTCTTTCCTGTCAAGTGCGCTGAATTCTGCAGAGAGAACAATGCAGAAGAAGCAGTCTGCTCTTGAGGAACGTTCAATATGAACTGAGGGAGTAGAAAGACTTAATGCACAGGCATGCACACTAACCAGGGAGGGACAGGCATGCACACTGACCAGGGAGGGACAGGCATGCACACTGTGTCCAGGGAGGGACAGGCATGCACACTGTGTCCAGGGAGGGACAGGCATGCACACTAACCAGGGAGGGACAGGCATGCACACTGACCAGGGAGGGACAGGCATGCACACTGACCAGGGAGAAACAGGCATGCACACTGTGACCAGGGAGAAACAGGCATGCACACTGACCAGGGAGAAACAGGCATGCACACTGTGACCAGGGAGAAACAGGCATGCACACTGTGACCAGGGAGAAACAGGCATGCACACTGTGACCAGGGAGAAACAGGCATGCACACTGACCAGGGAGAAACAGGCATGCACACTGACCAGGGAGAAACAGGCATGCACACTGTGTCCAGGGAGAAGTAGACATGCACACTGACCAGGGAGAAAAAGGGATGCACACTGTGTCCAGGGAGAAACAGGCATGCACCAGGGAGAGACTGGCTGCTTTGTGCATTGGTAAACACGCATGCACGCACACACTAAAAAAGATAATGTTTAAAGAAAGTTTGTGCTTTGGATTAAACAACCTTCAGGTTGTGTGGTTTGGCCCAAGTTATTTCATTATTCTGAGACTCTGTCTCTGCATTTGTAAATGGGACTGTTGTGTGGGTCATGCCAAATTAAAAGCCCCATGTTTAAGCCACATATGTTGGTACATGCCTGCAATCCCAGTGTCTTAGTTGGGGTTTCTATTGCTAGGCTAGAACACCATGACCAAAAGCAGCTTGGGGAGGGCGGGTTTATTTCTTCTTACTCTTCTGCATCACAGTCCATCATGGAGGGAAGTCAGGGCAGGCACTTGAGCAGGAGCCTGGAGGCTGGAGCTGAAGCAGAAGCCATGAGGAAAGCTTGCTACCCACAGCTTGCCCAGTCTGCTCTCTTGTACAACCCAGGACAGCTTGGGCAACATAGAGACTGTGTCCACAAACAAGCCAAACTAACTAGGACACCCAGCACTTGGGAGGCTGAGGCAGAAGAGTCATGGTAAGTTCAAGGGCGGCCTGGCAACAGAGTGAACATGTTAAAAACCAACAGCCCCCTATCAGGTCCTCAGCTGCTTGCCTTAGTCACAGGGGAAGATTTGGGCCCTTTGAGAATGAATTGTACAATCAGGCAATAATCTCTACAACCAATTTAATATTCTCATCCTCATCCTCTCTCTCTCTCTCTCTCTGTCTCTCTCTCTCTCTGTCTCATGTAGCCCATCCTCATCCTCTCTCTCTCTCTCTCTCTCTCTCTCTCTCTCTCTCTCTCTCTCTCTCTCTCTCTCTCTCTCTCTCTCTCTCTCTGTCTCATGTAGCCCAGGCCCTGGTGTTATGACTTACAAGCATACACTATGGTGCCCAGTTTTATGGGGAGCTAGAATTGTCTGTGTACATGTGAAGTATGCATTCTACCATGCCAGTCATGATTTCTTAACTCTGTATTTCTTAACCAGCTCTGTGCTGGTGCTGGGACACAGCAGGGTATAAAATGAAGTCCCCAAACTTCCCAGAGCTCAGTCTCATGGTACTTCATGTCAGCCAAGGCTCCCCAGAGAAGACAACCATATTTCAGTCAGGGGTTAAGAACGGTCAAGACAGCTGGGCGGTGACGGCACACGCCTTTAATCCCAGGAGGAAGAAGAAGAAGAAGAAGAAGAAGAAGAGGAGGAGGAGGAGGAGGGGGAGGAGGAGGAGGAGGAGGAGGAGGAGGAGGAGGAGGAGGAGGAGGAGGAGGAGGAGGAGGAGGAGGAGGAGGAGGAGGAGGAGGAGGAGGAGGAGGAGGAGAGTAGTAGTCAAGACAGGCCTTCCAGTTGGGAACACATAAAAGATTGTACCATGAAGCACTGGGGATCTGGAGAGGTAAAAAACAAGGCACAAATACCGGCCCTTCGTGAAAGCAGGCAGAGAAAGACATTCAATGGAAGCTTCCAGAAATTAGTTGAACAGTATCCCCTAGGAAGAGCTATAGTTATTGGCCCAAGAGAAACTGGGATGTTAAAGCCAAAGCATTTTCGCTTGGCAACGGGCTGCACAGCACTCGCGCTGCCACGTGGCGTTCTCAGGGCCCCACATGCTCTATTGTTCAGGGTTCGGTGTCTTCAGAACCCGAAGGAGCAGTCCCAGATTCCGACGGAAATAAACAGAGGTGTGAGCGCTTTGTCTGCGCTTGCCAGCTGCTGCTGTTTGCCTCAAGTCCCGCGATACGTGAGATTTCCTCTGGGCAGAAGCAAGGTCACAACTGCAATGGCAGACGCTAGCGGTACACAGTGCCTGTGTCTCAAATGAAAGCCACTGTTCATGCACAAGCAGATGAACATAGTGGTATGGGCCTGCAATCTGAGCTACCTGGAGGCAAATGCAGGAGGAACGTGAGTTCAAGGCCAGTCTGGGTTACATAGTGATTTGAGAGCCAGCCTGGGTAATTTAGAAAAACCCCACCTGAAAAAGGAATGTTGGGGCTGAAGATTTGGTTCAGTAGGCCGGGCAGTGGTGGCCCACACCTTTAATCCCAGCACTCAGGAGGCAGAGGTAGGCAGATCTCTGTGAGTTCAAGGCCAGCCTGTTCTACAGAGTGAGTCCCAGGATAGCCGGGCTACACAGGGAAACCCTGTCTCAAAAAACTAAAAACAAAAGAAAAAAAGATTTGGCTCAGTGGTTAAGAACATTTAGCATGCACTGCTCTTGCAGGGGACTGAGGTTCAGTTCCCAGCACCTAGGTGGCTCACAACTGCCTAGAACTCCCAATCCAGGGGATCCAACACTTTTCATGCTTCCATAGGCACCTACACACATGAGATGTACATGTCACACAGGAACACACATATATGCAGAAATCAAACTAAATACATAAAAATAATAAAAAGGAATGAGACAGGTAGATCTCTGTGAGTTTAAGGCTAACCTGATCTACACAATGAATGCCAGGACTATGTAGCGAGACTTGGTCTCAAAAGACAATAAATAAATAAGTAGTTTTGTTTTTAAGGGCTAGGGACATAACTCAGTGGCAGAGTACTCACCTAGCATGTGCAAGGCTCCAAGTTCAAACTACAATATTGCAAAAGAAGAAGAAAGATGGGCTGGCGGGGTGTGGGGTGAGGAAGAGGAAACAGAGTTGGGGGTGTTGCTCAGTGTAGAGTGCTTGTCTAGTATGTGTGAAGCCCTGATCATCCCAGCACCACAAAGATAGAGGGTGGAGAGAAAGATCATAGAGATAGATAGACAGATAGATGGTAGGTAAATGATAGATAGACAGACAGAAAGTAGATAGATGATAGATACATAGGTAGATGATAAATAAGTTGATGACAGACAACTGGCAGGTAGGTAATAGATTATATAGATTCTAGATTGTGACAGATAAATGATAGATGGCAGATAGATAGTTAGGAATAGATGGGTAATGGGGCTGGAGAGATGGTTAAGAGCACTGGCTGCTCTTTCAGAGGACCTGGGTTCAATTCTTAGCGCACACTTGGTGTCTCATAACCATCTGTAATGAGATCTGGTGCCCTCTTCTGGCGTGCAGGCATACATGGAGGCAGCACACTATTCATAATAAATAAGTAAATCTTTAAAAACAAAAGTTGTCATCAGGCATTTTGGTCACTGTGTCATGGAAGTTTACAGTATGTGGCCTACAGAGAATTTTGGCTTTCTGTATGGCTCAACTCCTCTCTCTTGCTTATTCTGTGAGAACCCAGTTGCCATACTGCTAACTGCCCTATGACAGCAAGGAACCCAGTGGCTACTCATGTAGAGCCAAATCTGTCATCAGCTGTGTGTCAGCTTTGCAGACCTGCCCCACTCTAGTCTTCAGATGACATGGCAACCCAGGCTCACACCTTCTCTGAAGCCTTTCGAGAGAGCCGAAGACTCAGCCCAGACCCAGAGAAACTGAGCTAATACATGCTCAGTTAGAATCTATTAACTCATGACCTCAGAGGTCAAGTGCTCTGCGATGAGGAGGACCCAGTGAGGCTGTGCAGGTCACTGCCATGGTGGCCAGGAAGCAGACAAGGGACACTCCTGCTCAGCTGACACCCCCCACCCCATCCCCCCACCCCGCCCTTTACTCTGTCAAGTCCCCAGCCCATGGGATGGTGTCACTCACATTCAAGGTGAGTCTTCCCTCCTCACTTAACCCTCCCTGGACACACCTTCACAGACACCTGCAGTTGAGCTTCAGCTAGGTGCTTCTGAACCCAGTAGAGATGACAATGAAGATTAATCACACATCCAACCGCTTTCCACACATCCTAGCCTAGAAGCGAGTCCCTGAGGTCCAGTCCACATCCTGTATGTTCACACAGGGCCATAAACACCAGGTTCCCGGCATTCTAAAAATACAGGTGTTGGAAATGTATGTGGGCAAGGAAAAGAAAAGGAGACCAGACCAGTGGCAGAGGGGTCAGAAGAAGCCAGCATGGCTGGCCCTGTGTGGGAGTCCACCTGAATGGAAAGGACACCTAAAGGTCCAAGACAGGGAGGCTGGGGCACCGCCGGCCTAGCCCCTGAAATAGCTTCCTTTTCTCAATCAGCAGTTGCAAGGCTGCAGGTGTAGCTCCATCAGTAGGATGCTTGTCTGTAAGCACCTGGCTTTGGGCTCCATCCTCAGAGCCACAGAGACCAGCTGAGGTGAGGCATGCCTGTAGTCCCAGCACTGGAGAGGATCAGAAGTTCAAGGTCATCCTCTACTATGTATACAAGATCTGCATGGGCTATGCGAAACCCTGCTTCAAGAAAAAAAAATGGGGTGGGGGAAAAGCAGCTGTGATGTAGGGGGAAGTATTTTTTTAAGTAAAATTTCATTGCCTCTGGGCTGGAGGCTAGACTTTTGGAGGTTGGGGCAGGAGACTGCTGTCACTTCTTTCTTGCTTTGGCAGAGAAAGCCTACTGAAGTCTTGTATTCCCAGAAGACTTTCAAACGAGGGTTGAAGACCCAGCAGGCCTTTCATTAGGTACCAGGGAAGCCAGGTTTAAACACCACAGCCCCCGTTCTTAAAGAGCTCACACGTGTTACACGGGAAGAGAGGAAGAGCTCCCAGTCCATTCCAGAGAAAGTCAAGGGAGGCTCCTTGAGTATGAATGGAGACTTGGATTAGACCCTCGGGTTCAGCTAGACTTCTGAGACAACAGCAAATGATCCTAGTATTGCTGGGCCCTAAAGGGAAGGAGAGGAGGCAGAAATTCAAGACAACAGTGAAGAACATTCTGTGCCTAGGCAAGGAGCTTGGACTTTGTCCTGAGAGCAATAAGCCAGGGCAGACAGCAGGTGGCACGGGGTGTTTTATCCGGGAGTAGTCACTACATGGCAGCACAAACCACACGCAGCTGAACTTCTCACCAATATGGTGCCTGCCTGTTCCACTGCCCACCATGTTCCATCCCTCTTGGCTCAGGCACCATGGAGATGCTTCGGCCCAGTGAAACATCACTGTCTGTCCACTGTGTTCTGATGGTAACCTCTAAGGCCTCCAGCCAAGGAGTTTAGGAGGCAGGATTTCGACCTGGTCTCGGTTTTGCTCTGTCAACAGTTCCAGCATTCTGCCCCCCTCCACCTCTGCTGGAGTTCACAGATAGCATTTCTGAAATGGGCTGTGGCTAGAGGACATTGCTGTTTTGGGAAAATGTTGCGCATCCCTGCCAGGAGGGGACAGAGCGGTGAGCTGGGGAGCCAGTGCCAAGGGATGCTGTCCAGAAAGGAAAGGACAAACACACTCAAAGGCTGTTTTTTCAACTCTCGCCTCTTCCATTTTTACATTAGCATCAGCTTTTCCCCTCATGTCCTTTGGGAGAAGGTTAAACGATGCTTCTCAGGAATGATGTGTACTTTACCAAATCTCAGATGTCTCGTGTGCATGGCGGGAGGGTGCTGGGAAGCCACGAGGATGCCCGTGGCAGGGAAGTAGACCAGAGATGGGTCCTGTGGCCTCTCCAGCACCCTTTCCATCCTCTCATTCTTGCTTCCAAGCAGATCAAAGCTTATCCGGCACAGAGCTGATGTTTAATGTGCTGTGAATGGAATACTAAGCCTGCAATGTAAGCAGGGTTCTCAACAGAAGGCAAACTCACATACCCACTCTGGCCTTCTTGGGTGTCAATACCAAGCTGGGAGACAGTATAGGAGAGCTGGGGACAGAAAGGTTTCCATCATAGGACAAATGGGGGCTGGGAAGATGGCTTATTGGGTAAAGTATTTGCTGAAGAAGCATGAGAACCTGAGTTCGAATCCCAATGACTACATAAAAGCTGGGTGCAACAGTGCATGTCTGTAAGCCCAGCATTGAGAGTGGGGGGGGCGGAAACAGGCAGATCTCCAGAGCTCACTGGCCAGCCACTCTAGGCAAATGGGTGTGTCTCAAGTTCAGTGAGGGATGATGGCTCTAACACAAACAAACAAACAATAAATAAACAAATAAATGCTGTGGAGAGCAATAGGGGAGGATGTCTGATGTTGGCCTCTGGCCTCTAAAAGCACAAGTGTGCACACGGAAGCACATACCTCCCCATAAATTAAAAAAAAAGTGGAGAGGGATGGAAAGAAAGGTCCTCCCGGGCCCCTGTCACAGTGGAGAGAGAGCACAGAGGTCCTCAGGCCCTGCCAGGAGCTTCTGCGTGCAGACATCTCCTCCTTTCTATACAGATGTCTGCCCAGGAATCGGGCTTCATGCTGTGCTTGGCTCAGACCTGTCAGAAGCAGCTAAAAGGGAGGGTGAGCATATCCAATTTACAGCCGCAGGTTAATTAACGTTAGTCTCCAGAGTTGGTTTCCAGGAGTGGGTTACCTATCCCAGTGTAGTGAGACTGCCTGCGGCTTAGAAGAACAAATCCCAGGGCTTATCACAATCACACTCCTGAACTCCAAAGGATGCCCTCCCCAGGCTAAGGACTCATCACAAGCCTCAATGGAAACGGATTATGTTACAGGAGATTAGAGAACAAATCCTGCTGGGGATGGAGCCGAGTGGGTGGAGAGCTAGCAAATGAAATCTTGGGCTCCATCCCCAGCATTGAATCCTGCAGCTGGCTGTGATAGAGCATCCTATGATGCCGGTACTGGGGGGGTGGCCCACCAAACGTCTTCATTGAAATAGTGTACTCAGGGTCTGGGGCTCAGTGGTAGAGCATGTTACAGAAAGGAGCAGTGGGGAGGATAGAAAACTGCACTGCACATATCTGAGCGTACAGTGAATTTTCATCTCATGGGCACACAGGTCATGAAAGAGGTCACCAGCATTCAAAAGACTCTTCGTGTCCCTCTAGTAACTGCCCATCCAAAGACACTCAGTGTCCTGACTACTAACACTAGAGGTCAGTCTCACTGCCTTTGAACATTATGTAAATTGAGTAACAACATTTGTCCTTTTATTCTTTTTTTTTTTTTCCAAGACAGGGCTTCTCTGTGTAACAGCCCTGGCTGTCCTAGAACTAGCTCTGTGGACCAGGCTGGCCTTGAACTCAAAGATCCACCTGTCTCTGCTTCCTGAGTGCTGGGATTAAAGGTGTGCACCACCACTCAACCAAAGGTATACATGCTTTGTACCTACCATTCAAATACGGATCCCTTTGCAGTTGCCTGATTTCTATAGGTAAACTTCACACACACACACACACACACACACACACACACACACACACACGCACCCGCGCTTGTTCACAAGTAAAAGTTTGCTTTACAAACTTAAGAACCTGAGATGGACTTGGGAAGCAGAGGCAGGTGGATCTTAATGGAGAAGCCATCTCTCCAACCTCTTGGGATTTTTTGTTGTTGTTGTTCTTTTTAAATCTGGAAAGCTGAGTGTGGTGGCACATGCCTTTAATTCCAACACTCAGCAGGTATAAATTGTGGCCTTTGATTGTGATCTCCCTCCTAGTCCTAAGAAGCTCTGGAACCTGCGACCTGTACAAGAACATGAGGGCACTTGGGGGTGGGGGAGAAGAAACAAGGCCCTCAACAGCCAGGGCAGCTTGAACTTCAACCTGAGCTCTAAAACGTGCATGCAATCTGGAAACATAGCATGCCCTAATCTACAAAATTGGCACGCTTCTATCATTGGTGCCAAAGTTAAATCAGTTTAAAGGTGTAAACGGCCTGGATCGGTGATTGATAACAAATATTAGTTTACTGGCTCAATTTCTCATGTTAACCAGGACCAGTGAAGTTTTTGCGACCTCTGTAACAGGGTTCAAAGTGCAAACCAGCCAGACTAGGAGAGACATAGATGAGCACAGAGCGCCCTCGTGCACCGAGCAGGGGAACTGCCGCGGCCCCGCCCCTCGCGCTTGCGCATAGGCTCCACCCCCCAAGTTTGTTGTTGTCTTCGGTCTCTTGGACGTTTGTGGCGGTGGCAGCGGGATCGGGAAGCCGCGCCACCATGGCGGTGCGACAGGCGCTGGGCCGAGGCCTGCAACTGGGTCGGGCGCTGCTGCTGCGCTTCGCGGCCAAGTCCGGCCCGATCTCAGGCTTGGGAAGACCCGGCCCCGCGGCAGCCTGGGGCCGCAGAGAGCGCCCGGGCTGGGCGGCAGGCCCCAGAACACAGCCAGGCCAGCTCGGGCTCCCCCTTCCCGATCGCTACCGCTTCTTTCGCCAGTCGGTGGCTGGGCTGGCGGCGCGGATCCAGCGGCAGTTCGTGGTGCGGGCCCGGGGCGGGGCTGGTCCTTGCGGCCGAGCAGTCTTCTTGGCCTTCGGGCTGGGGCTGGGGCTGATCGAGGAGAAGCAGGCGGAGGGCCGGCGGGCCGCCTCAGCCTGTCAGGAGATCCAGGTGAGCGCAGCCGAGGGCGGGGAGCAGGGAGAGCGGCCAGAACCCTGGCCAGAGTTCAGCCTTTAGGCCAGACGGGGCGGGAAGAGGGCGGGGCCTGGGCCAGGAGGAGGCGGGGTTAGGAAAGTAGTCGGGAGTGGGACTGGACAGGGGGCGGGTCCTGAGCATAGGGGGCGGAGCCACAACTAAAGTGACGCTTGGGCGGAGGCGAGGCTAGGATAGGGGCTGGAATCTAGCAGGACCTGAAGCCAGGAGAGGCTATAACTAGAACTAAAGTTGGAGGTAGGGGTTTGGAGGCTCCTCGAGTCAGGAGGAAATAGGGACCGTTGGTTTAGGGTGAAGGCGTGGCCGGGAGCAGATCTAGAAAGCTGTTTTTTGAGTCATTAAGTTTGTTATGCTGATTGGGGGCGGCATCGGGGGCGGAACTAGCTGGATATTTGTGGAGTCAGGCTCTGAGCCTTAGTGTAGGGGCAGGTCTGAGGATGAACCAGAAGTCTCAGATAGGACAGAGTCCTGAGTAGTGATTGGGAAATTCAAGGTATGGGGTACTCGTGGACTGTACTAAGTGGTGGGGGGCATCCTAATTATGTGTCTAGGAGAATGTCATGAGGGCATACCTAGACCTGGTAGTGGGGGTAAGTCGAGGGATAAGGCAAAGACTAATGTCTGTCTTTGAACTGTAAAATGGAAATCAATTAAGTCTGACTTACTTCCAGTTACTGATTTTACAAACAGTATTTTTTACAAGAGGTTTTGCCAATTGTTAGTTCCTGTTGCATGGTAGCAAGCGACTTTGAGTAAATTGCTTTTCTTTGGGGGCGTGAGGAGGGGGATGGCCCTGACTTGTATTTGTAGCCCAGGTTGACCTTGAACTTCTGGCCTTCCTATCTCCATTTCCCAAGTGCTGGGATTATTGTCATGTGCCACTATGCTTTGTATACACTTTCTAAAAATCACAATACTCAGCTGGGCGTTGGTGGCACACACCTTTAATCCTAGCACTCGGGAGGCAGAGGCAGGCAGATCTCTGTGAATTCGAGGCTAGGCTGGACCGACAGCCTCCAAAATAATACAGAGAAACCCTGTCACAATACTCTTACCCGTTGATGTAGTTGTCATCCCAATTTATAGAGGACACATATTCAAAATAGATGAGATACTTACTGGTTATAGTAGTGCCCAAAGCCCGCCCTCTCAAAGCCTGTGCCCTTTGCTGAGCCAGACTCCTGCTCCGATTTAGCCAAACAATGGGCGAGAGGTCAAGCAGAAACTGCAGAGAAGCCTGCGGGAGAACACAGCACATCTATTGTTTTAGTTAGCCAGAGTGGGGTTTTCACTGGGTACGTTGGAGTTCTCCAGCCTTTTAAACTCTTAAAATAGCAGTGACCTCTCTACTCACGAAGTCTTCTAGTCAAGGTCACCCAAACAAACAAAACCACTAGGATGTGTATATTTAGAGATGGGGACTTATTTTGAGCACATGGCTCATGCTGGGCTGGCAGATCTAAAGCCTGCAGGCAGGCCCAGAAAAGAGCTGGCTGTGCAGTTTCAGTCTTTAGGTTGTCAACTGCCAGAACTCAGCGGTCTTCTGGGAAGCCAGCCTTTTTCCTGGGGTTTGAAACCACTTGCTGAGTGAGTGTAGCCCCTGCATTTTACAGGGTCAGGCTGAGGGGTCAAAGACATCGATCAAAGAAAGACCAAGCAAGCATTTCCTGTTCCTAATACTGGGACCTGACTTGTGTGTCTTACATAGCTACACAATGAGACCCTGTCCCAAGCAAGAAAGCAAACAAATAAATAGAAAAAGATATGAATACAGGTGACAGGCACGCATATGCAAAGATTTTCAACACCACTGACCATTTGACAAGTGCACACTAAAATGAGATGAGGTATCCATGCACACTTACTAGTGTTGTGCCCAAGTCACAAAGATTCCCAGAGGCCACCAGGAAGACACACCCACCAAACTGCAAAAGCAAGGTTTTAATTGTTCATCCACCCATGACAGGGACCCCATCTAGCAAGCTGATGCAGCAGCCTCCAGAGGGAGTGAAGTTCCCTGTTTACTGCTAGGTTTTAAAGACAAAAGTTACAGGATTACATCAGTAGGTACGGGTTGGTTTCTGATTGGTTGACATTTGGGAACAATTAGAAGAATTTCTCAAAATCATATTTTGGCATGAAATACCTGTGTACCAATTATTCTCATTGGTCAGTGCTGAGAGGGAACATGTTGTGGTTTCTATGGCTTTGTCTTGTTACTTGCAGGTGGCCTGTTAAACATAGATACCAATAGTTTTCAGAACTGTATCCTGGAGACCTGGAATTCCTTTTGTGGCCAAACAGTTCCCAGGAACCAAGTGTCTAGGAGGCTAGAGGAGAGACTGGAGTTTCTTTGTGTCAGAGGCCTATGTGTCTTTTCTGTAGCCTGTCACAGCTGCTAAAGCAGGGGGCTGAGTGAGGGTCTGGTCCCTTTATTTCTAGAAGTGAAGCCTTTGAGTTTAGTTTACCCCTTTCAACTAGAACAACTAAAATAAAAACAAGGACAATAGCAGATGCTGGTGAGGGTGGGGAAATGGGATCTCTCATGCCTTACTGATGGCCATCACAAATGGAAAGTAATACAAAATTCAATATGTGTTTACCACACCAAGCTGTCACTGCAGTCATCAGCATCTACTGGGGGAAAGGAAAACATTCATACAAAAACCTGTGTGCTGCAGTTGCTCTGGGAAATGGTGACCCTAACCCTCAAAAGAGCTAAAAACAGAATCACTATCTAGTAATTCCGCTTCTCCATGGATACTTGACTCATGGACAGAACGCATAGACTTTTATGCACGTAAACTCTAGGCAGTAGCCCTGGGGTAGAAGTGACCCATGCCCGTCAGTGTGCATTATCCCACCTTGAAAAGGAAGGACATTCTGGAACCTGCTGCACATGGATGAACCTTGAAGACAGTTCGTGCTACCACTGTATAGGTATTGCTGTTGGGAAAGTTGGGAAAAGGGTACAGGGGCATTTTGCACAATTTTTTTTAACTTCCATGAGAGTAATTACTCCAAAATAAAAAGTTAAAAAGTATCTTGTGGCTGGGCAGTAGTGGCTCACATCTTTAATCCCAGCACTCAGGAGGCAGAGGCATGAGTTCGAGGCCATCCTAGTCTACAGAGTGAGTGCCAGGACAGCCTCCAAAGCTACAGAGAAATCCTGTCTCAGAAAAAAAACAAACAAACAAAAGTATCTTGGGCTGTAGTGATGGTTCAGAGGTTAAGAGCACTGGCTGTGCTTCCAGAGGTTCTGAGTTCAATTCCCCACAACCACGTGGTGGCTCACGACCATCTGTAATGAGATCTGGTGCCCTCTTCTGGTGTGCAGGCATACATGGAGGCAGGATGTTGCATACACAATAAATTAATTTTAAAAAAAAGGATCTTCTGCTAAACCCCTAGTTGATGAGAATTACTCTACAGATATCTCTCCTGCCCCTGGGGCTTATAAAGCCAATAGCAAGGGAACACCCATTTCCATGTATTATTCAGTGATAAGCATCAGTTCAAGGTATAGTAACTTCTAGGGACCCAGTGCTTTGGCAGTCTCAGAAGGTATGTGTGACAGGCTGGTCCTCAGGACAAGTTATGGAGGAAGGATGACCTAAGCTGGGCTTGAGTAAATAAGGGTATGCCAGGCACAGCAAGAATGTCATTGGTGGCCTGGGTCACTGAGTTCATAAAGGAACTCAGGGAGAAGCAGTTGCAGGGTGAGTACAGAGAGATAGGCAGGGCTGGGGTGTAGCTCAGTGACAGAGCACTTGCCTAGCATAGGGAAGGTCCCAGCACGCCAGAAATAAACAAGTGTAGGCATGTACAGCCTGGCCTGGCAAAGCTCCAGGATAAGCCACAGTTGTCCCTTGGTGTCTACAGGGAATGGGTTCTAGGTCCCACTCAGATACCAAAATCCACAGATAGCAGTTCACATCCTGGTGATGAGGGTTTTGTATGGGCCTGTGCACACCTCCTGCAAGCTGCAGATTATCTCTAGATATTTTGCAGTGCCAGGCATACTACAAAGACCTGAACAAATGCTACAGGAAGAGCTGTTCACTGGGCTGTTCATGGTATAATGGCAAGGAAAATGTACATATGAATTATGCCTTTAGTTCCAGCACTCATGAGGCAGAGACAGGTGGATCTCTGTCAGTTCAAGACCAGCCTGAGCCACAGAGTGAGTTCCAGGGTAGCCAGGGCTATACAATGAAACCCTGTCTCAAAAAAAAAAAAAAAAAAAAGAAAGAAAGAAAGAAAGAAAAGAAAAGAAGAGAAAAGAAAAAACAGAAAAACAAAAGAATAAGGTCCAGGTTCAAACTTGTGATCTTGCTGTGTGCTGGTATTACAGGTGTGCATCAGGATTTTGGACTTCAGGGACAATTTTTTTTTGAGATAGGGTCTTTCTGTGTAGTCATGGCTGTCCTGGAACTCACTCTGTACACCAGGCTGGTCTCGAACTCATGGAAATCCGCCTGCCTCTGCCTCCTGAGTGCTGGGATTAAAGGTGTACACCACCATCTCTGGGCTGCAATTGCATTTTTTTTGTTTTTTGGTTTTTCCAGGCAGGGTTTCTTTGTGGCTTTGGAGGCTGTCCTGGAACTAGCTCTTGTAGACCAGGCTGGACTCAAACTCACATCCACCTGCTTCTGCCTCCTGCCTCTGCCTCCTGAATGCTGGGACTGAAGGCGTGCATCACTACCTCTGGGCTGCAGTTGCAATTTTTAAAAACTGTTTTCCATCTACAGTTTGTTGAAGCCACAGATGCAGGGCCTGCATTGGACTGTCTATGGTCACAGTGAAGGGATGCATGAGAAAGACTGTCTTAGACAATGAGACAGAAGCAGGCTAACCTGTACCCAGGACAAGCCCACACTTAAAGTCAAGATGGCAGTTTCAGTGAGGATCCTGCCTCACTGCGACTCTTCCCTGATTGTGTTTGCTTTGTGGTGGCCTTACTAGAGCCCCTGGATCACAGCCCGTTCCTTTTGCTCACAGGCAATTTTTACACAGAAGAACAAGCTGGTGTCTGACCCACTGGACACGAGGCACTGGCACGGCTTCCGTCTGGAGGAGTATCTGATAGGACAGTCCATTGGCAAGGGCTGCAGTGCTGCTGTGTACGAAGCCACCATGCCCACTTTGCCCCAGCACCTCGAGAAGGCCAAGTGTATTAGCCTTCTAAGAAAAGGCCCGGATGTCCTCCCAAAGGTAGCAGATGGGGAGCGGGCCCCAAGGGCCCCAGCCTTTCCCTTTGCCATCAAGATGATGTGGAATATCTCGGTAAGGATGGCCCTTTCCCCTTCTAAGCAGGCACATCTCACATTGTCAGTCTTCAGGGACAAGGACAGGGCAGGCTTTCCACAAGGGCCTGTGGGGTTAGGTGTCCGCTCTCTTACATGAGAGTTGGAGCTATCAGTCTCACCAGGGGCTTGAGAGTCTGATTGTTTTTCCAAGTTCTGCTGGTGCCCAGGCTTCTGGTCTGTGAACACTCTGAGTGGCAACTACCTAAACCTCAGGTTCCTGAGCCTATGGTTATTTCATTTGAGGTCAGCCATATAACCATTCTCCCTTTGTCTCCTTATATGACTGGCGTCCCTAGCCAGGAGGAGCCATGTTCTAGCCCCATACCCCAATGAACTAATCCAACGCTTACTGCCACCTTCCTGTGGCCAGTTTGAGCTGGTGGTGACCAGAGAGGTCCCTGATGGGAAGCATCTTGGGCTCTGAAATCTTAGCCTCTGTTCCTGCCTAGGGCTATTTGAATAATACCAAGGGTTCGAGGTGTGGGAAGCATGGTCCAAGTAGCACCTCCCATCCCTCCAGACTCCAGGAGGAACTGGTTTTGGATCACTGCTTTAGGGAGCTTATTTCACCTTGACTGTCAAAGCCAGTTCTAGGTTGTAAATGTCTTGGTTCTGAGTCCAAGCAGGGCATGGACTTGACATTCCACTCAGGTCTGTGGAATCATGGGTGCACTGTCTGTGGGTATGTTCTAGGCGGGTTCCTCCAGTGAAGCCATCTTAAGCAGAATGAGCCAGGAGCTGGTCCCAGCAAGCCGGGTGGCCTTGGATGGAGAGTATGGAGAAGTTACTTACAGGTAAGCACTCCTTTGCCCACCAGAGCAATCACGGGTTCTCTGAGAACAAATGTATCTCCGACACTCAGAACCCCATCTGATATGCCACACAGTAGATGGTTATTGAATGATGTCCTAGAAGGATTTCCAGTTTTTGGATAAATTAAACTTGAGAAAGACTGAAGGTCATCTCATCCCAACGAATGATGCGGATGGTTGATTCAAAGAGGAGCAGGAGGCCCCCAGTTCAGAATGCTAGACAAGCCAGACAATGTCCTAATTTCTGTAAAGCCGGGGGGGGGGGCGGAGGGGGCATGGTGTGTGTGTATGTGTGTGTGTATGTGTGTGTGTATGTATGTATGTATGTATGTATGTATGTATGTATGTACGTATGTATGTATGTATGTGTAGCGCCACCTACTGGTACACATGCACTGTCTCCACAGGTGGAGACTATTGGCCACAGTCCAGTCCTGATGATAGCAGACTTCCATCTGAAACAGCCCTGACCCTCCCTCTAGTTGTTCCCACGGTTTTCGTAGTCATCTGGCCTGCTGGCTCTGCATTCTAGCCCGGAGTCTGTGCCAAGGGCACCAGTTAAAGTGCTGCTGAGTCTCCAGAGAAACTCCCCCTGGAACACTCAGTGGCCATGGTCCCTTGACCTCATTCAGGGACCTTGGACTCAGCTCCTTGCTGCTTCCCTCACCAAAATTCTCACCCCTGCCCGTTCACACACTCCCCACTCGTGAGTCCACACCGCCGTCCCCAGAAGTACGAGCTCTGTCTGCTCCCTGCACGCTGCAGGCAGACCTAGCTCAGACACACCCTGCCCAGCTCCCACACTGCCCTGGAGCACTCACGACACCTGCCAGGGCACTGCCAGCCTCCTGCTGAGGTCCTGACTCTCCCTGTCACCAGTGACCCAGGGGCAAGGACAGTGCTGCATAGTGCAGGAGTCCACTCCTGTGACGCAGAAGGAGCAGGACAAGGACACTGTGGATTTTTCTACTAGGCTCCAGGACAGTGCCGGCACCCTGGCGTATCTCCGGTTCCTCTTCTATTCCCCTAGCCACCCTCAGCGCTTGTGTTTCTTCCCTGTGGCTCTTCTGTTCCTGCAGCCCTTTGCTTCCTGGGACCTTTCCTGTGTCCCCTAAGAGAAGTGACCAACCTGCCTTTGGGATCTCAGATGAACCCATGGACAATTAATTGCCTTTCACTCCAAATGCCCAGTCAGCTTTGGCTTGAGGGGCAGAGCTGGCACACGGGAGTCAGAGCCACCCAGTCCACAGTGTTAACCATCATGCCTCTGTGGGGGCGTGGCTGGACATCCTGTAGGAGTGGACAAGGGCCACCAGGTGGCACCACTACAGCACTACATCTGTGTTGGGGTGTCATTTGGTAAAGGGGATGCTAGTCGTTGTGGTCAGGGAGATGATTTGGGCAGGGTTCCTATCCTCGGAGAGCTAAAAGAAATCCTCCTGCGGTCGATCTCAAAGCGGTGACTTTAGAGACTTCGCCCTGTGCACAGCTCCCAGCACTGAGGCTAACACCTGGTACTCAGAGTGCCGACAGCAAGTGCTAGTTAAGTGACTAATGTGAGCATGAGCACTGCGGAGTGCTCGCTCTGCTGAGCACCATCGTAGTGCTTTATGCGTATTAAGCCCTTGGCCAGAGCATCGTGGTCTTATTCCCCATTTCCCACTCTGCCCTGAGCCCAGAGGGGATGAGTGACGTGGCCAAGGACTGGGTGTGGCAGCTTCCAGGGCCTCTTAGCCACTGTGTTCTGCCGTGTGGGAGGAAGATGAGCCAAAGGGTGAACTGGAGGAGCCACTGAGTGCGAGGAGTCACCCCTCTTGGGTTTTGCCCCACGGTGCATGCAGTAGTTGGAACAGGGCAAACCTGCAGTGAATGTTGGTAACTATGCGTGAGTGAATGAGTGTCTTTGCGGTGGCCTTCGCTAGCCTTCCCCGCACTTGTCTCTGATGCTGGCCTCATCTGCTGTCCCATTTGCCTGAACTGAAGATCCAGAGGCGGTCCCAAGCGGCTTGCCCCACACCCCAACATCATCCGGGTTTTCCGCGCCTTCACTTCATCTGTGCCCCTGCTGCCAGGGGCCCTGGCTGACTACCCTCATGTGCTGCCACCCAGATTCCACCCAGAGGGCCTGGGCCACAGCCGCACACTATTCCTCGTTATGAAGAAGTAAGCGGTGGTATGTGGGGAATGGGAGATAGGGACCTCGAAGCAGCTTCTTCTTTCCCGTGGGAGGGAGCTGGTCCCTGTCCTTGGAGCACAGGGCTTCTGGGAAAAACTAAGCATGTGGAGGTAAGCTGTTGGAAAGATGCAAACATCCCATCTTCCAGAGTATACTTCCTGCCCTTGCCCTTGGCACATCCATAGCTCCCCTCTCTATGGCGTCCTGTTTCTGTGCCACCCCACTGAGGGATGGATCTGAGGAGCTGGGGGGCAGCACTGTCACGGCTGTTGAGTTTCAGGGTCAGCATGGGTGGGGTCTGAAAGGATGCTGAAAAGAAAGAGAGCAAAAGCTCTGGGAAAAGAAAGGCCCGGCCCTACAACGAATGTGACCGTGAGAATTGTGATGCCTAGACATTCTGTCCTCCCTGGTCAGCTACCCTTGTACCCTGCGCCAGTACCTTCAGGAGCACACTCCCAGTCCCCGATTGGCTACCATGATGACCTTGCAGTTACTGGAGGGCGTGGACCACCTGGTTCAGCAGGGCATTGCCCATCGGGACCTCAAATCTGACAACATACTCGTGGAACTGGGCTCAGGTAGGTGCTGATTGCACCAGAGTGCCCCAGGGAGAAGTTGGGGAAGAGGAACAGAGACCCTGAGGTCAGGGTGTGTGTGTGTGTGTGTGTGTGTGTGTGTGGTGCAGGGTCTTTTACTGACCCTGGGGCTCACTAAGTTACAGGCTGCTCCTGGCATCTCTCTCCATTCTCCCCAGTGCCGAGCTTTGACATGGGTGCTGGCAATCCAAACTTAGGTCCTCATCACTGTAACCTCTGAGCTGTCTTCCCAGCTCCTGAATGTTCTATTCTGTCCTGTCTTCTTTAGCTCCCACAAGAGATGCTCCCCTCCATCTGGTGGGTGAGACAGCTCACTTACGTTTTCCAGAATCCTCTCTGTAGCCCACTTGTAGAACAGAACCATCAGTCAGTGAAAGGAAGGTAGATTCTAGCTCAGTGAAAGCTGCCTGAACAAACCAGGCTTCCTCTGTAGAAGCTGCACCACTCAGGTAGAAGCCATCTCAGGTAGGAGACATTCTAAAGGAGTCACCAGACTGGGGAGTTTCATGGTTAAGTGCTCTACTCTTCCGATGACCTGAATTCGGTTCCCAGCATCCACGTGGAAATTCACGATTGCCTGTAAAATTCACAATTCCTGTAACTCCAGTTCCAGATCTGATGACTTTTTCTGGCCTCTGTGGGCACCTACACACACTTGGCAGACACATACATGTAGATAAAAATAAAAATAAGTCTTCTTAAAATTAAAATTATTAAATGTGTAACTAAAAAGCTAAAAGTGAACTGGCTTTTTCTAATTTTTTTTCCACTTTTTAAAATTTTTTTTATTTCATTTTACATTCCAACCACAGTTCTCCCTCCCACCTCTGAACTGGCTTTTTCAAGGAACTGTGTGAACCCCTTTCTCTCCCAACACCCCTTTATTAGATTTATTGGCATCACAAATTTGAACCTAAGGCTCATAGGGTGCATAGACCCTTTAGGGTCAGAGATCATTTAGCCAAGGCTGAGATCCTTTGGTCTCTTGGCATATCTGGTTAACTAGAACATTTTCCACTGGACCCCCCCCGTACCCTGCGCCTCCCCACCCCTTACCAAGTCCCCTGCCTGGGCCTGGGTTCCAGTCCTTGTTTCTAGGTGGCAGTTCCATGTACTGCTGTGAGCTCACTCATAATGACCCCATCCCAGCCTTGTTGGCCTGGGCTCCTGGACACAGCCTTAGTCCAGCTCATCCTTGTCTTGGTGGTGGCTTTTGGAGGGACCTGCGGGGGACTGCAGGGGCAGTAGTAGACCCTGCTGCTCAGCTCTGCTACCTCTGCAGACAGCTGTCCCTGGCTGGTGATCTCGGACTTTGGCTGCTGCCTGGCTGACGAGCGCATCGGCCTGCAGTTGCCTTTCACTAGCTGGTATGTGGACCTTGGTGGCAACGGTTCCCTGATGGCCCCTGAGGTGAGTCCTGCTGTGTGTGTGTTCTGCTATCAGCCGTTTCCCAGGTTTTCCCAATAAATGCAGGTTCCCGACCTGCAGCCCTGCTTTTACTAGGCTGACCTGAGGTCCCTGGACATTTGTCAGCATCAACCAGGCAGCTGTGGCAGATGCATGGTGCATTTAAATTCTGGGGTCAGCTTACGTGGCATGCATGGACACAAATGGTAGGCCTGCCGGGGCCTGATCTCTCTCTCTTTCACCGTCTACTTCCTGCAGGTGTCCACAGCCCATCCTGGCCCCAGGACAGTGATTGACTTCAGCAAGGCTGACACCTGGGCTGTGGGAGCCATCGCCTATGAAATCTTTGGGCTTGCCAATCCCTTCTACGGCCAAGGCAGAGCCCACCTTGAGAGCCGCAGCTACCAGGAAGCTCAGCTGCCCGAGATGCCCAAGTCGGTGCCCCCAGATGCAAGACAGCTGGTGAGGTCACTGCTCCAGCGAGAGGCCAGCAAGGTGAGGCTGTTCCCTGGCTCTGGCTGTGTGGATGAGGGCCCCTTGTTCATGTCTGAGTTAGGCCAAGTTTAGGCAAGCCCTGTGGCATTAAGCTCTGTTATATACAGGCAAACGCGAACTAAAGAACAGAACAGCTCTAAGAAGAAACGAGCAGGAATCTGGCCAGTGAGCCCTTAATCCGAGTCCCAGGGGCCAGAGTCCTAGCAGCATCCATCCTTTGGGCCTCTTTTACTCCCTAGTCGCAGGGCTCAAACCCAGGGCCACATGAATGCTGGACAGGCACCATCCCCCACGCCTCCCGGTCCTCTTGGCTTTGGTTATGTGGGAAGGACGGGCTGGTGAGATGGCTCAGCAGGTCAAGGTGCATGGCACACCTGACACCCTGAATTCAATCCCCGGAACCCACATGGAGAGAGCTGCCCGGCGTTATGCTCTGACCTCCACACATGTGCTACACGTACACACCCATACACATCAAACATATCCAACAGTAACAATAATAAAGAAAAGCCTAGGGCCAGCTGGATGGCTCGGTGAATAAGGGACTTGCTGCCAAGCTTAATACCTTGAGTTTGATCCCCAGGACCCACATCGTAGAAGAGAACCAGCTCCTTCAGTCCCACCCCCAATATATAAGTAGGCATAATGAAAACATTTAATTTTGTTTAAATAAGAGAATGGCTCAGAGAGAAAATGTGTGTTTGAGACATGTGTAACAAAGATGCCACATGTGGAAGGAATGCTCTCGGACAAGCCGGAGTGCTGAGGTCTGTGCCTGAGCCACAACTGAACAGCAGGTTCAGTTCTCAGAAAAACCTGAGACAGACCTGGTCTCAGGCTGCTGCTCTACAGCCTGCACATCCGACTGTTCACACCCGACTGTTCACACCCGACTGTTCACACCCCTGACTGTTCACACCCCTCACTGTTCACGCCCCTCACTGTTCACGCCCCCGACTGTTCACACCTGACTGTTCACAACTGACTATTCACGCCCCTCACTGTTCACACCCCTCACTGTTCACGCCCCTCACTGTTCACACCCCTGTCTGTTCACACCCCTGTCTGTTCACACCTCACTGTTCACGCCCCTCACTGTTCACGCCCTTCACTGTTCACAGCTGCATCCTCACAGCAGATACTCAGACAGCATTAGCTTGGCAACCACACCAGGTGAGGCCTCTTGTACCAGTGTTAGAACCCAGACATGTGGGTCCCCTCCATGACAAAGGTGTCCCAGCAGAGCTGACACGGGCAAGGGCCTGTGCTCGGTCACAGAGCAGCTGTTGGAGATAGAGGGCAGAGGAAGGATGGAATTGGGGCAGGCCTGAAACGAACAAGGGCTTGTAGACATTCTGACCACACCTTCCATTGCTTTGCAGAGACCTTCCGCACGTGTGGCTGCCAACGTGCTGCACTTAAGCCTCTGGGGCAAGCATCTTCTAGCCCTGAAGAATCTGAAACTGGACAAGATGATTGGCTGGCTCCTCCAGCAATCAGCAGCCACTCTGCTGGCTGACAGGCTGATGGAGAAGAGCTGCGCGGAAACAAAGCTGCAGGTGCTGTTCCTGGCTAACCTGGAGTGTGAGGCCCTCTGCCAGGCAGCCCTCCTCCTCCGCTCCTGGAGGGCAGCCCCGTGATAGCTCTGTGCTGTAGTTACTAAAAGACTCGGGGCATCTGTGTGGTGATGTCCTGATGGTGTGAAAGTCGAAGGAGGTGGCTTGGCTGGTGGGTGGGAGTCGGGACAAGCTGAAGTGGAGGGGCAGGTGAGCCAGAGAGGAAGCCTTAGGTTCAGCAGATGGAGAGCAGCCTCGAACAGCTCACACTATACATCCACTAGCTGTGCGGGTTTGAATAAATCCTATGGCCCATCCCACTTAAGTTCTCTCACAGAACAGTTCAAATCCGGAGTTGGCAAGCTATAGAAGGCAGACAGGAAATTAAGTAGTTGCAATGACTCACCTGTCACCAAGGCAAAAGGACAATTACAGCAGCAGGATAGACACTGAAATTTGGTTGTCAGTAAATTCTTTTCATCTTTTCCCCAGCCACTTAGAAATGCAGAAAGCTGGCCAGGTAGTGGTGGCGCACACCTTTATTCCCAGCACTTGGGAGACAGAGGCAGACAGATCTTTGTGAATTTGAGGCCAGCCTGATCTACAGTATGAGTTCCAGGACTACACAGAGAAGCATTATTTCAAAAAACAAAAACAAAAAAATCCATGTTTAGTGACAGGACAGCATGGCTCACAGGTGCATTTCCCAATCCCTAAGCTGGAAGCATTCACAATGCCTGACTCTAGACATACTCACTGATCACTAAAGACAAAGTATCCATGCTAAAGACAGTGTGAGGCTGAGCCCTGTGCATTCACTGAAGTAGTGTGTTCTCCCTACCAAGGGAAAATCCCTCACTCGGTGCCACTGCTGACCAGAAAACAGCCCCTCCCCTTGCTGTCCTCAGTACAGTCATGGCTGTGCTGGTAGACAAGATGGCTGAGGGGGTCAGACCTGTAGTCCACCACTGAGATCCAAGACAAGGCAGTGGGTAGCAGTTGGTGATGTCTGTCCCTAGTGCCAGGAAAGGGCTTTTTGTCTGATGAAAGTAACCACCATGTTGCTTGGAATGTGCTACCTAGGCTATGGGCAACTTATGTGCAGGACATGTTTGTGTTCAGAGAGCAGCAGGAAACCATGCTCTAACAGTGGGGTGTCTGCCAGGCTGTCGAGAAACGCCTGGGAGTGTGTCTGGATTTACCCAGCACAGCTGAACCAATCTGTGCACAACAGCTAACAGTGAGGCATGCTGGCTGGACATGTGTCTTGATAGGAGCTGTCAAATATTAAACACAAATTTACAATGCAGAGCAGAGTATAATGTGCTGAACAGTTTCTGGCTTATATAATGATTCTTATGCCTTAACAGTGAGGAAGGTTCACATACAGTTTCATATGTGCTTGATAAGAACACAGGTGTAGCCTAAAGCCAGTGAACATAAACTCAAGCATTTTTTAAATTTAAAAATTTTTTTTTTTGGTTTTTCGAGACAGGGTTTCTCTGTGGTAAATTTTATGTTTATTGGTGTTTTGCCTGAATGTATGATGCACCACTTGAATGCATGGTGGCCTGAGAGGTCAGAAGAGGGCACCAGATCTCCTAGGACTGGAGTTACAGATGGCTGTGAGTTGCCATGCAGGTGCTGGGAATTGAACCTGGGTCTTCTGCAAGAGCAACCAGTGCTCTTAACCACCAAGTCATCTTTCCAGTTCCTCCACAGTCCTTTCACCAGCAACTCTTAGTCCAGCACTGAAATTCTAGTTTCCACTTTGTGACTCCCACCTTCCCTCTGTGAAGAGTTAAAAGACACCCAGTCTCTGGCATGTAATCGCTAGACAGCAGCCCTGCCATCATGAAGCGTGAGGGGCCAGGTGATGGGGGGAGGGCAGTGGTTCTCTTTATTTTAGAAATGGGGGTGGCTGCACATATGAAAAATGCCACAGTGTGATTCAAAGTGGGAAAACTTACAGAAAAAAAAAGACTATTCCCTACCCCCACCCCATAGTCGTCACTCACTGAGGTAAGGCTGTGCCATTTTCCCATGGCCTTTATAAAAAAACAACAAAAACCCAACCCCTCAGTTCCAGTGAAATCCTCTCGCCATCTCCCTGCTGTATGGAGGAGTCCCAGGCTCGGGCTCAGTCAGACTTCTCCTTCTCCTTCATATGCAAGAAGACGATGCTGAAGATGAAGAGTCCGGCCATCATGGAGAAGGCACTGGCGTAGTAGGGATAAGCCGAGGGGATGAAGCGCTCATACTGTGTGTGCTGGAGTGGCCTCACTGACACCTGCAACAGGACAGAGGGAGCAGGCCCTGGTGGCTGGGAGGCCTAAGAAGGACACCTGCGGCCAGAAACGGACTGCCCCTTGCTTACCTGGGTGGAGGAGTACAGGTGTGTGTAGCCTAGCCGGTTGTAATCCACTTTAAACTGGAACACACCATACACATCGGGCAGCTTGAACTGGACACTGTACTTCCCACCTAGGGAGGCAGCAGCAGCACTCAGACCAGGAGGTTTCCCAGGGGACGAGTGCCTGAGGCAGCAGGTGGCTGCTCTGTGTGGCTTTCTCTGGCAAGTGTCACACTTACCTTTCCTCTTCAGGAAGGTCCTCACAAAGGGGTCAATGCGCACAAACTCCAGCTGAATGTCGTCACCATCAAAGGGGACCCACTTGCCATTGGAGAGTTGCTCAATCACGATGCTGTACTCCTGAGATGAGGGGCTGGGTCAGCGGGGCGTGCCAGCAGCTGGAGGTGGACTACACCCACAGGCACAACTGCCCTCAGTTCCCACCCCACAGACACGGCAGGACTCAGTCCTGCAGCCCATGGAAGCCCCTGATGCCTGCAGTCACAGAGCACCCCTGCCTTCCCTGGGCTTGAGACCCTTAGCAGAGTCTCCTCCATCCTGCATGTGCAGGGACTGACAAACGTCTAGGCATTGACAAGTGACCCACAAAGTCCAACCCAAAGTTCCACCCGCTATGTCACTTTTCTGTAGGTCTGAACTCTACTACATCTCCGCCACAGGAGCTTCAGTTACCATTGGTGGCCAGTGGCATCTCTGCTGACTCTCTTAGGGACAGAGAAGTACATTTTCATCCTGGATACCCCTGAGCTAACTGATTCCGCCCTGGTCAAAACCTTAGGACCTGCCCATCCCAGGAGGTCTTACCACTAGATCAGTGACAGTGTAGGCATTGGGTGGGGCCGTCTCGCCCACCCGATGATGGGACACAGGACCCACTCGGAGGACACCCTCTTCCTTGAACACCCAGCGGGAGAGGGCCACAGCTAGCTCATAGTTGCCTGTTTGAGAATACCTAGAGGAGAGAAAGCAGAGACTGGGGCTGCAACCCACTTCCTGCTGGGCTCTTGATGGAGACCCCTCCTGTATATCAGGCCAGTGCACTCTAAGTGAGGTTCTGATGGGAGGCTGCATACAGTTACTGGCCCATGGGTAAAGGGAAACACTGAACAGTGAAGGCTGCAGGTGGTGTTGCTCGGGACCATCTGCACAATCAATCAATCCCAGTCCATTTTGGTGGTGGAGACTGAACCTGGCCTACGCCCGTCAGGTAAGTGCTCCGGCAGCCACATGATCTGAGAGGGGAGGGGAGAGAGCTCCACAAAGCCACCACCACCCTGGTGAGCATGGGGCGCCAGCAGTACTGTGACAAAGTCTGGGTAATGTGATGCCCTGAAAACACATGCTTCAGAAGGCTCTCCCCCGTCTGCACACAGACCTCGTGTTCCAAGCTCTGGCATTACCTCTGGGCACCAGGTGTGGCCTTCTGCACTGCTGAGTTGAAGAAGGCATCGCTGAAGAAATCCAAGGAGCCACTGAAGATGACCCGGGCATTGTTCCTGGCCTGGAGCCCCGCGATCAGGAGAGTGTTCTTTCCCACTGCGTGGGGGTACTGGCAACAGAAAGGGTGGTCACCTGGACATCACCAAAGTACCAGCAAAGCCACCGCAGCAAGGGGACAACAGGCTGGATGCCTACATGGCTATGTCCCCCACCCATCTTAGGGATGACGTAGTCTCCAATTCCATCACCTCTTCATCGGTCTCAACAAAGCCCACCTCTCCTGCTTTGCTCTGGCTTTCAAATTAAAAAGTGCTGCCACTGGGCCCAGGAGCTGGAGGCTGCAGAGGCTCTCACCTGGGTGATGGGCTTATCTGGGAAGAAGGAGTAGGAGGTTGAAGAGCCCGTGAGGATGTCCAAAACCAAGGGATTGTCAGGGTCAGCCACCATTCTGCAAGGGAAAGGAAAGAGAAGCCTGGCACTGAGCAGGAAGCAGCTGCAGGACAAGGGGTCCTACGCCATCTCCTCCAGGGAAAAGCTCTCCCATTTCTTCCCAGAGAGAGAGGTCAGCTCTTTCTCATTTGTTCATTCGTTCATTCGTTCGTTTGTTCATTCATTCATTCATTCGATTGGGTCTCACTAGCCAGGCTGGCCTGGAGCCCCAATCCTCCTGCTTCTGCCTCCTCAGTAAGGCATGCCCCACATCTGCCTTCTCAATAGCCAAGCACTTAGGGTTCCTCTAAAACTCACTGCTACTACCTAGGGGAACAAACATTTTCAACCCTAAATGTGGTTGAGTGGTGGTGGCACACGCCTTTAACATCAACACTTGGGAGGCAGAGGCAGGTGGATCTGAGTTCAAGGCCAGCCTGGTCTACAGAGTGGGTTCCAGGATAGACAGGGCTACATAGAGAAACCCTGTCTCGAAAAACAAAACAAATTCGGCTTGATGCCCACAAAGAGAAAGCGAACCCTGATCCTCCAGGTCCCCCTGGTGTCCCCGCTCACTCACCCAACTCCCCGGAAGAGAATGGGGTTCAGAGATGACTTCCCAACGATGGTTGGGGCCTTCAGCAGGTTCTCAGTATCAGCCACGATGAGCGTATGCTGCAAGGGACAGGGAAACGGGGTCAAGAGGGTCTCAGGGCCAGGGAGCCCTTTCTGACTTCCACCTGAGCTTTGCTGTGTGTTCCGACAGCTGAAGGGACTAGCCTGATTACCTGGCCAAGGTCTGAGACATCGTAATTGTGATGGTCAATGACAGCTGTTTTCTCTTCATCAAATTCAATCCCACACTCACTGCCCAGCTCCCGAAGAGGATCACCTGCACAGATCCAAGAGATTGCCTGGCTGAGCTCTGATCGGCAGGCCTGACAGTGTAGGTCATTGCTTCTTCATAGCTCACCCTCTACTGGTTAGCCACAGTGCCCAGCACCTTCTTCAGGCAGGAGCATCACCTCCAGGGCTGAGAAGATGATGAATGAACCTAAATAGCCTTCTGCCTGCACAAACGTGCAACAACTTGGTTCTGCACAGACCCCCCCTTAACAAACTTAGCAAAGCCACAGCCAATGCTGGCTTTCACAAGCCTGAAGGCCTAACTAAGCTTACCAGTCCTTGTCATCACCCCACCAAAAGACCCACAGAGAGGAACGTGGCTGAAAGGTTATCACTGCTGAAAAACAGGCCCTGGGCTGTTCGCTATTGAAACTGAGGGACCAACACATGAGCTGAGGATGTAACTCTCTCCCTGCTGCTGTAAAACTTTCAAAACCAGAATCTGGAACAAAACCCACCCACTGCCTGCCCTGACTTCCTTGCTCCCATCAGAGCAGTCACCCAACAGAACACAACAAGGCAAACAACGGAGGCGACCATCCTCACCGTCTCTCGTCACAGGACAGTACAGGAGGGACCCAGGGTCCAATAAGCCCTGCAGCTCCCTCACTGTCTCCCTGTCCCTGAGCTCTCCTAGCCAATGCCATGTTGGCAGCTCCTGCATATAAAGCTCTCTGAGCTCTGTGGAGAACTGTTGGAAAGCCCTGGAACTTCCTAGGGCAGACTTACCAATGTCGGAACTGGCAGCTACCAAAACACTGCCACCACCGTCAATGAAGGCACTGATGGTTTCCACGTTGATGTTGCCTCCAAAATCTGAAAAAGGGCCCCAGACACAGTGACCAGACAGTCCTGTCCCCACTCCCTGGCAGCTGGATGGAGATAGCAGACCCTCCAGAGCAGCCACAGTTGATCTGAGTAGGTCCCCATGGGCCCAAACTTGAGAGGGAAAGTAAACTCACCACATCTGTCACAGGCCACAAACCTATGTCCTCAAAGGGAAGCCCAGAGCAAGGCCTTAGTCATTCAGGTGCACTCACCAAACATGTCCTCGTCACAATTCGGTGAGAGCACACACCCCAAGCCACATCAATTCACTGAGAAATGCTGCACTTTCCACCCACATTTCACAGAGCGATGCTGTTCAGATGCCCAGATGC